ATTCTAGTGGGCACGAAGTTTCACACCAGATCTCTTGTGCATTGTTGATGGTCTGAGTGCGGAGCGCTCGGCCCTTGAGAAGGACACCGTTTTGCCAGACCTCTCCACTTCGAGAGCTCGAGCAGTCTGGTCGCATCTGGCCAAGAGTTTGAGCCTTGAGAGCAGAGGAGGTCCAGGTCCTGGAGAGGAGCGTCCTTGGCCCTCCTTCTCGGATCCTGGGAACCTGGGCCAGAGCGACACACACACGAATAACTTTGGAAGCAGCAACGGTCCTGGCCTCACTTTGTCATATGCCCGGTGCGAGGCACCGAAGGACCTTGCCTGTCGAGTTGGATCGATGCAGCCTTTCACCTGCGGCGGCGCAACACTGACTGACCAGGGCTTGAATCGAAGCTCGGAGGGTCCGGCCTCGTACTGTCCAGGGCCAGTGGAGCCCAGCGAATCTGCCAAGCTTCTGTCATCCAAAGCGAATCGGTTCGCCTGCAAAGTCAGTTCCATCCATACAAAAGGTACATTTCTTGCCGCCAATACTTTGGAGCCGCCTTTGTGAACCTGATATGGCGGGGAGGATTGTCTGGAGATCCCCGAACTTCGTAGACCTTAGAGCTTTGCAGAAGCAAATTCTTGCACCAAATCGCTTTGCCTTCTGTCACAACTTGGCATGCGCTGAACAACCTCGCAGGGGTGGCTCAGGCGTGTACAGGCCCTGGTGCGCGGAAGTGCGTGTCGCAGAGCTCTGCCCTGGACCGAGAAAGGCGTACAAGTCTTTCCATCCTTAAGGAGCTACGAGGCTATAAGCGCCTCTGCCCAGTGCCGAACCGGACCCGAGCTTCTGACTTAGCCTCTGCGGGGCAGAGCTCGAAGAGCACACCGCTACGCTTGTTGAAGACTTTATGTAACCGGCAGCGCCGGCGGCCCCAGCAACAAAGGCCGGAGCTAGTCGCGGCATGTAGGTACCTCCGGGTATGGACCACCGCTGCCTAACTTTGGCAAGGTACCATGACCGTGCCTGGTGCAGGGGAATCCCGGGCCATCATGGCCATCAGGTGGTCCTTGAAACCGCACACTTCAACTCCAAACCGCACGTGACGAGCCCAGCCTTGGTGATCATCGTCTTTGACCATGCCTCGCAACGGTCCACAAGAAGTGCCCTTGGAGCGTGCCCCACGCGTGACCTTGCCGTGCTTCGCAATCAACGGCGCCGATGGCTCGGAGAAGCGATGCGACAGCTGCTGACGCCCTGCAAGCGCTACTTGTTGGCATCTGTACTTAGGGCCGACAAACTCTGACTGGATACACAGGGCAGTGGGCCAGGCAGCACATTGCCAAGGGCCAGACCGAAGGTATGTGGTATCTCATAAGTACCAGGACCTGGTTCCAGATCCTGCGAAAGTCAAGACCAAACTGATGGACAGATCTTTCGATCACTGTCTTACATGTTGGCGGAGTCCTCGGGGTCTGAGTACAGCGAACCTCAGAAGTAGCATGTGCAAACGCCTACGGTCGCAGAAGCCTCGATTGCACCGATTTTACGGACTAGAAAGAGGCAACGCTCAGCTAGCGATGCTCGATGCAGCATCGTGGCTGTAGGACGGCGTGGCATACAATGCCACAGACCTGAGCAAGTTTCTGGAGTGAACAGTTGGCAGCCGCAGGGCTAAGGGAAGCCCAGCCCCGCACGGGATCGTTGGCAAGGAGCCCGTAGTTGAGCGCATGTTCATGCTTTCATTCTTGCCTTCACCAGCTGATTGAAACGATGCTCACCTACTATGCAGCCATTCTCTTTGCAGCTCGGCTGCCAATTGACGGTGCACTTAAAGAAGAGTTCAAGCTCTTCGGCTGTGGCTTTTGTACCGGCATGGCTGTTTGCCTGCACCTGCATGGAGCACGTGATGGAAGCGGGCCGTCAATAAGGGCGGCAAGCTGCGCAGGCAAATACTACAAGACTGCCAACCCCTTCGACCTGCAGGACCAGATGTTCGTTTATATGGCTCCCGCAGGCCTGGCCTCCGTCTCCAACTGAATAGTTGGCCCTAAACACTAGCACGCCACCTCTCCGGCGGCATGTGATCATTCAGCCGAAATAGGGCTACCAACATAAAGTCAACTCCAGAACTGCAGGACTCCCAGACGTGCGCCGACAGCTCACTGCAACAAGTGGTTCGCGTTTTGCCTTGCAGCCACTTGACGTTGTCTTCTAGCTAAGGAAAATGCACGAAGATGTAACATGAAATGATTTTAAAACTGTAGAGAGCCTGTTGGCTCTCTGGCCGTTCCCTTCAGGAAAGGCACACGGGACGTCAGACGAACTCCTCATAACCCTGCCGCTTTGCGGCATTGGCGCTGCCTGCAAGGTTTCTGGCGATGTCCTCGTCCACCCAGAATCTGCGTGACAAGATCGATACGCCCAGCACCAACACGAGCAAAAGCGTGCCCAAATCAGCAACAACTGCCATCCACAAGTCAAGCTCACCACGCAAAGCTGCGACTCCCTGCAGCAGCTTGACTAAGCAGGGCACCACTATGCTCAGTCTTTCAATGTGCACTGCGTATCTGCACATGATAATACACTGCGACAGCTTGTGTAGCTTGTCAGTGAGAAGGACAACAGCTGCAGACTGTGCCGACAGTGCAGCGCCAGTTTCGCCAATCGCAACACCCACAGTCGCCACTGTAAGTGCCGTTGCATCATTGACACCATCTCCCAGCATAAGAGTCTTTCTTCCTGCTTTGTTCTCGCTCTCAATCCACTCCATCTTTTCCTCAGGTGTCAAAGAGAAAAGGCAGTGTCCTTCATCCAGTCCAGCAGAGGCCGAGATGTGCATAGCTGCAAGCTCGGAGTCCCCTGTCAACATGTAGGGCCGAAGCCCCAAGTCTTTGAGTTCATCGATCAACCTCCTGGCCTCTGGCCGAAGAGTGTCATTTAAGGCAAGACCAAACTGCAACTTGCCGTCGATGATCAGCGCAACGGTCGTGTCATTGCGGTGGATCTCCTGAAAAGCTGCAAATTCTTTCTGCGAGTCCGCATCCGCATTCGCCAGGTCTAAGGCCCGTCGATTTCCGAGAAGGACTTTGTGCACTTTAGCTGCCGAGCCCGTGCCGACTGTCAGATGACCTTGAATTCCCACCCCAGGCAAGCTGCGCACTTTTTTGGCAACAGCAAAGTCGGTGCTGTTTGCCATGCCGACACAACCCAAAGCTCTGGAGACAATAGCAGCAGCAATCGGATGGGCAGACTTCATCTCCAGGGCGGCAGCCAGCTTCAGTGCCTGTGTCTCATCCCACATGGAGCCGGACATGCCCTGAACATGAAGAACGGTCATTTCACCTTTGGTGAGGGTGCCAGTCTTGTCCAAACCTGCCGTAGTTACTGCTGGGAGGCGCTCCACTATCTCCGGGCGCTTGATAAGCACGCCATTCGAGGCGGCAGCTGCAATTGCACAAGTGGTGGCAAGGGGTGCGCCGATGACAATCGCACACGGGCAAGCTATAAGCAGAAGAACAACGGCTCGATGGCGCCACTCAGAGAAGTCGCCTCCCACAAAAGCAGGAATCATGCTGGTCAAGAGTGCAGCCACGAGGACCAAAGGAGTCCAAGTTTGCGCAAACCTGCTGATCAGCATTTGCCTCTCCGTGCGCTTGGCTTGCGCCTCTTGCACCCTGCCCTCAATTTCTGACATGCGTGACTCCGATGAAGGCTTTGTCAGCTCGACTTCAATGCATCCATTCAACACCAAGGTCCCGGCAGAAATGTTGCCCCCTTTTGACTTTTCAACCGGTGTTGCCTCACCCGTCATAGCAGCTTCGGAGCAGGAGGCGAGCCCTGCCGACACCATGCCATCTGCTGGGCACTGTTCACCAGGTCGCAACGAAATCACATCTCCAATCTGCAAGTCCGATATCTGCTTCTGCTTTCCATCCGCTCCCTGTACGCTGCGGACAGTCTGTAGCTGCATGACAACACGCAGTGCCGTAGCCACACGCCGTATAGCAGCTGCTTCGATGATCTTCGCGAGGTTGAAGAGGAATACAACCAAAGACGCATCAAAGACTTCGCCATGATACGCTGCAGCAAAGACGGCAATCGACACGAGCAGTGTGACATCGATCTGAAACTGCTTCAAGGCGATCACCGACTCCCAGAGAAGACACGGCAGGCCGATTAACACGGCAAGGACCTGGAAAGTGTTGCTAAGTTCCGTTCCTGCTGTGAATGCACTGGCAAGCATGCACATGGCCGCACCCAGGACAACAAAGCTGCGCCCATGGCGCCGGCACCATTCGTGGCAGTGCAGCTGTTCGGGGTTAACTTCGTCACCCCCCTGCCCCAGGAGAGCCGCACCCAATCCAGCATTGTTGAGCTTGTTCAGAATTGTCTCCGGGGTCGTGCAACACGGCGAACAGTGCTCCACGATGCAGAGCTTCTGGAAGCTGTTTACCGATACGGACTGTATGCCCAATAGTGGCGAAATGATGCGCTCAATTAACCGGACTTCTGAATCGCAGCAGATGTTGCGGATGCTAAAACGAGATCTCACGATGGTGTGTTCTGTGCAGACTCCCACTGTCACAGGAGCATCATCATCGGCAGTCACCGATAGTTCCATGAATGATTTCTTGCCCCTGCGGCTGCGGGCGGGCCTGCAGCCCAAGCATCCTTCAGCACAGTCATGCGCAGCAGCTGGCATGTCTAAGTCTGGCATGTCGTTGCTGTCCGCGGCAGCATCTTGTGGATTGCCACGAGATTCCGGCACGTCCATTGCAAAGAATAGGTCTATGTACGAATTACGGATGCACTGCCATGCCTACTCTCGGCCTCCAGCTAGAGAGACTTGCCCTTGACAGAAGACACGCAATGCATCAAGTCTTTCGATGCTCAATGAACAACGGCAAACAAAGCCGGCCGGTTTGTCGACTCCAGGTCCTCTCAGAGAGTCATGCCGAGCCTTTGTGAAACGGCAGCTGCTCATTTTGCAACTGCGTTGGCGCACTGCTTGGTGTCACAAGTGGGTCTTGTCGAGATCTGCAAAGGCACTATCAGACCAGGATGGTTCAGCACCTGCTGCAGATACGTCGCAGTTGTCACTGTACCCGAGACTTGTAGATTGAAACCTGCCTGCTGCATCTGCATCGCACGACTCGCTTTTCAAAGGCTGCGTCGCGGGTCTCGCGGATTGTAGCTTCTCACGCCTCAGCTCTGAAGCAACTCGAGCTGCAGAGAATTGCGTGCCACGACCATCCGGTCAGGCCACTGCTGCTGCTGTGCCTCGAACAGAGTTTCACATGCTTACACTCTCTTGGCTTTGGGCGCTTGGAAACTGACGAGATGCCTCTTCCAAGATTGAAAAGTCAGCTTGCAGCTGCTTGTCCGCCACTAAGAGGACATGCCTGCAAGCACGGCGCTTCTTTCAACAATGCGCTTGTGATGAAAGCTCAGGCGCTCCGATGCGTCGACTAGCTCCTTCCAAATCGCTGCAAACTCTGACGGGCAAGGAAACACCTTCCAGTCCTCAACTTGCAGCCTATTTTTCAATCTCATCTCTCCCCAGCCCATTGCGCAGAGCGGCGTTCCAGCTTGCTGGATTGCTGCCTCACACAGGACGTCGGGGCAGCAAATGGACCAAATGCTCTGATTTCCGACGAGCTAGGAATCCAAGAAGGAGAGAGTCTAAAAGGGTTTCTTCGTGCTTGCCTTGATAGCACCTTTCGCTGCTGAGAGCCTAACAAGCCTTACCCTCTCAGCTATGTGCGCAGCAGCCCATGACCATCATGCCCGTCTGCGCCGTGCGTCTCTTCGCAGACTGTCTATCTCTGAGGTCAAGCTGCGAGGACAATTGCCCGGTCCGCCTGCAAGCAGATTTGCCGCCAAACTGTCTCCCCCCTACAAGCAGTATGCACAACAAAACGCAAGGTTCAGCAAGGTGCAGTAGTCGGCGGGGCACTCTGACAGCCAGCGAAAAGATCTGTGGACATCAGGAGCACTATATACCCAATGTGCCTTCTGGGGTCACTGTAAGGATAACGAAAGAGGAGAATCCTTCGGCTTTGTAGCTGGGCAAGTAGAATTACAAGATGGAGTGATACCTCACCTTGGCCTGTATCTGCAACTCGCTCAGGCAGTTGCACTCAAAAAGATCTGTGCCCTTGCAGCACAGCTCAGCTCCGATCTTACACGTGGTAGGTATGGCTTGTATAGCCGCAAGAGTTGGCCCTCGTTGCTGTTGGCTGCTTACACTAATTGTCTTCAATTCTCATGGTGTTCCAATGTGTTCGCATCTCTCAGTCTTCCCAATGCCACGTTCCAAATAGCTTTAGCTTTAGAGGTTCTCACTAAATCACGCATGCCGTGTCCGCAGCTGGCGCAGGGGGTGCGTCGGGGCGCAACAGCATGCAGTCGGCAATGGTGGGCATATGCAAGTGGCATACATGTGCGGCCGGTGGAGGAGACTCAGCGGCATATGCGGGTGGCATGCAACTGCCGCGCTCTTGATGCAGTCGGCATGCAGGTATATAGGCTGTTCCTACATTCCTTGGGTACCAGGGCATACCAGGGCCAGGCACAGGGGGTGCATACACACGCCGAGAACGTTTTTGCGCGCGTGTCAAGCACATGAGGGTAGCAAATGTGCGCTTGGAAGGCGCAGGACTAGTCGCCCATGGATTCTGCCAGCCTATTCGGAGAGAACACTTTGAACATTTCTTTATGACGCTTCTCCAACTATCTGAGGTCTTCGACGGTATAAGATTATTCCTCAAAAAGAGTGAACACACTATGGGGGAAAGAGAACTGGCTAGTGAAGCACATGCAGCAGGCCGCGGACAACCTTGCCCGAATTTCCTCGGGACGCGGCTCCCGCTGTGGCTCCGTGCACATGTTGCTCGCTCCCGACCGTTTACACAGGATCCTGGTGGACACAGGTCTGCCGGGAGGCCAGATTCATTGTAGTTTGGGATGCATGGGCTCGAAAATATAGAACTGCGCCAATTCCTGGAAGGAAGCATATAAGCGCCGTGCCCTGAAGCTCGCCAGTATTTGTTGGAAACTATGTAGGCCGTGGTCCTGAATCCGCCATAATCCGCCAGAGCAGCGGAAGTGCCTTGGGCGTGTCCTGGTGGCCTCCTGGTGTGCTGGTGATCTACTGGCGGTATCTCGGTTTCCTGGTGTCTCCTCCTCGTCTCCCGACGGTTCTTGGAGATATCCTGGTGGCAGCCCCACCTGGGGTCCCTGGTGGCTTCGTGGTGCTCCTTCACTGTTTGATGAAGGTTTTTCGAAGGTGCCCCTGCCTAGAAGGCAGCTGGTCCATCCCAGTTCTATCGCAGAAAACTCGCATCGCAGGAAACTGAAAGACAGAAATTGTTTCAAGCGTAGCTGTCGATCTGCCATCGCCTTCATGGCTCCAGCTGCAAATTGAAGCACGCAGCCATCCTGCTCATTTCCGCATCGACAACCGGAAGACCGCTAGTCTGGGGCACACAAACCTGCATGCAGCTCCTTCGCGACGGCGGTTAGCACAATTTCCCTGTCTTCTTGCAGCTGCTTCGAGGCGAACCTTACAAAACATGCAGAGCAACATGGCCACAAAAAGCTACACAACTCGCTGCCAGCCAGGAGTCTGCAGGGCGGATGGATTCGACGTCACAGCCGCCAAAACCGTCGGCTTGTCACCTGAAACAATGCTCAACGTAAAACTCACGTCACGCTGAAAAGCGGCATGCACATCGTTCTTCGTCCGTGCCTCGCAGTGCACCGTCAGCATACTCCAATGCCAAGCCATTGGCACTTACAGCTGCCAGCACGGTGGCTGGGCAGGCCCGAAGTTCCTGTCACGACATTCAAAGACGTAAGGACCAGCCTGTGACCCGTGACACTCGTTCCTCCGACGCGAACTGCAAAGCCCAGCCGCGACCTTTCTTCGTTGTGCTGGGCACTCGTAAACGATGTGTGTTGTGGCACAGGGTCTACTTGCAGAAGGGGTACTGCTCCGAATAGCTGCCGCGACCACGTCCTAAGCATCGACATGGAAAGGACGCCAACTGCTTAAGCCATCTGGATTAAGTCGACATCCGTGCTGAGAAGTGAGCAGGATCTCGCCTTATGAAGTGCGAGCCACAACACAAAGCCACGCATTATGCATCGTGCGTTCGAAGGGCTTCAGATCTGCCGACGCAAACTCCAAAGCTTCGCCCTGCACTTGCCTGAGACAGAGCCCCGCAAGCAAAGCGCCGGCGGCCACAAAGACTCTTCCGTTGCGGGCGCACACACACACACAACGACATTACTAATCTCCATTCACGCAAAGCCGCACCGCAGCTAAGACGACTTGGCGGTCTGAGCGCAGCTCTTCTGCTGCAAACCTATGGTGTGCTCTGTCGTTTCGACTTCGTCGAGCTCAAAAGTCATGAATGACATGTCCAATGCATTGTATGAAAAGTATTGAACCGGGGGACTCCAAAGACAAGGCATTCCTGCGCACAGCAGTAAGCACAACTTCGGGATCTCTTTTCAGCGTGTCGGAGGCAAACCTCAGTTCGTGATGCAAGCAGTTTTCGGTCGGAGGCGACTCGAGGCTCCACAGGAAACTGTTTTCGCATTCACGCAGCCACTCAACACTTCCGGTAAATTGCACGAAGAGTACAGAAGTCACCCTGCACAGTCATTGGCAATTCCGCCTCCTGCAAACGGGCCCACTGACATGCTTTGCACCAGATTTGATGCACGCACGGTGCTTTCTGGCAGCCACACAAGAAAAACCTGATTCCACATGCCTTTTCCTAAACGGCCCTATTTAACTCCACTTTTGCCCGAACCATGAAACATGGAATCTTTGCTGCATTTTGCTGCCGAAAAACTGCAGGGCCCAACCCTTGGAACTTTTGACCGCGCAGAGCACGACTTCGCGGTCCCCACGCAGAGCGGGGGGAGCCTCCTCAAGAGCCTGACTCAGAAACAGCGATTGAGCGAACAAGTCCCCTACTCACAACTCACGCACCTCTCCGTTTGCGTTCACAACGCTCAGAATGAAGTCTCGGTCCAGCGTGCGCTCCTTGCACCCAGCTATGCAACATTTGCGCTGTCGTCGTCTGTGCTTGCCAGCCGGCCTTGGAAACGTGCGTCAGCGCCCAGTTGAGGACAATAGCTTCGTCCTGACATGTTTCGCAACTGCACGAGAACCCCCTGAGGTAGCATCTGCACAGTTTGTGGCGAGCACCTGTTGCAGGTACTCGTTTGCAAGCTTGATGGCGGCGAGGTTCCTCACAATTACAACATCTTGCACGCGACAGGCCAATGGGCAGCGAGAAGCTCGGTGGCATGAAGCATGGCCCTTTTTTTGCATATCCGGGACTCGTGGCAACTGCTTGCCTGTAGGATTTCCGAGTGAGCAGCAGGTCCTTATCATCACCATCTTCACACTCGCTCATCGTCATCAGGTGTAATCCCTTACAACACGAGCAAAACCTTTCTGAAAACAGAAGCTTTGGCTGACACACCCGAGGCTCGCCAGCGACTTGCTGCACGACAGAAGAGTCAAGGCTCACGCTTTCCTGTCTGGCCTGCCATCTTCTGAAACTGATGTCCACCTTCCGGGCAGAAAGCCACCCGCGAAACCTGGTCGGATGAGGAGACTCAAAGAACGATTTTCTGACTGGCGCTGCTTGCAGACCTCTTTTGGTACTGGCCCTCGGGCAGGCCTCTGCAGATGGAGGAGTTCGCTTTGGCGCAGCAAAAGCTCCAGGATTTGCTGCAGCCGGCCGTGGACTTCGCTCGCCAGTTCCTGCAGCTCTCGGTGTGCTGGGCCAAGAACCAGTCCTTATCTTGGGGGCTGCCACTCACTCTCCGTGATTTATAAATGTTAGACCTCCGAGCAAAAAATACACTTTTCTGTCGAGCAGCGAGACTTTTCCAGCACCTCGCCATTGCCCTGCGTAGAGGACAACAGCTTGTTCCGGCAGCGCATTAGTTCCTCAGAAACACGATGTGAACAAGCTGCATTCTCTCTGGCACTGCAGTCGGTGCTCCTCTGCCGCTTGCCTTGCTGCTTTTGAACTTCTGGGCACAGCCTAGCACAAGGCATTTCTCAGACACGCAGTCACCCTGGATCCTGCATGGCCTCAAAAAGCACATCGCGGTTGCGGTTCAGATCCATTGCGGCAGCCTCACAACGCTCAGAAGCTTAGTCTCCATGCTCGCTCTCGTCGCGTGTCAAAAAGGAGCGGTCGCCTCGAGGGTGCCGGAGCTGCCCAAGATCTGAGTGACTGCCAGCTGCCCCGGGGGCCCCTTCGATGAAACGCAACGCCGAGGTCCGGTCCATGCTGGTGGCTTTCTTGAACTTCTCGCTCCTCGAAAGACACTGACGATGACCGGTACTGCAAACACTGCGCACGGTGCGAAAACTCGACATGACAACATGTACGCAGGCACACGGGCATCCAAGAGTCATCCCGCATACCTTGGCTTCAAGCCGCTCCTTCCTTGGGGACTGGAAAGCGCGGAAAGGAGGTCCAGCTCACTTAGTCAATCTTTGACATGGACTGAGATAATGCTGAGAGTCAATGATCCCGATTCTTGGAGACAGCTTTCGATCATCCTTTCTAGAGTGTCTCCAAGCAAATCTGCTCTTCGAGCCTCTGTTCCTGTGGTGAGGCCAAGCTCCTGCGGCTTGGCGACAAGGCAAGCATGGCAAGCGCAGCTTGAACGTCACGTGACCTCGACCTCACGAACCCAAGCTTCGTCAGCACATCGGGCGTGGAGCTCAGCATCGCCGCTGAGACACCGTAAGCTCTGTACAACCTTGGAAACAACAGGACCGCCAGGTGATGCCAGATGTTTTCAGCAGAACCGATCTTTGACGAGAGTCTTGGTGTCCCATCAACGGCAAGCCATTCGAAGAGAGCAGTTGCTGCTTTCCTACCACATCAAATCCCTGCATCTACCCTGACTTTTCGTTCTCTCAAGAATCCAGACAAGCCCTTCTTCTGATGTACATCACGATTCCTCCTGCTTCGCTAAGAAGAGAATCCACCCCCTCACCCCGCATTTTGATACCTGTCTCGATCAACCACACAAACCTTGTGCAAATAATCTGCCTTCATGCGCGGAAGCTTGCTTGCTTGCTTCACATGAGACATGTGGGCCTAGGGTGTGAAATCCTAGAACCATGCGCACGAGGCGCTATGCCAAGGTCCCATAATGAGTTCTCTTGGCGTGCGCATGCGGAAGCCTTCACTCTCTTTCTCTCTCCCTCTCGTGCTCAGTCCCGCTGTCAGACGCAGAACGCCTTCTCAAAAAAGAGAGAGAGAGAGAGAGAGAGCGAGCGAGCGAGAATCTTCCTCTATCTTCTCGGGACAGAAGATAAACACATCAGGTGACAGGAATCAGGAGGGAGTGCCTCTTTAGAGGAAGTTATCGTGAGGTTGAGAGCTGTGCTTCCTATAAACGTCCATTGTAAAGAGCCCGTATGCTCCACACTCCCAAAACCCCGCATACGGAAGGTTTCCAGTGCAAAAAGCCTGCAAAAGGTTTCTCGGCGTGTGGATGGCTACAGCCAATAGTTCGAACAGACTCGATAGACTGCCGAGTCCGCATCAGACACCAGGCTTAAGCGTCGCCTGGCCAGCCAGTCAGCGCTTCGACCTCCACGAGGTTTTGTCAGGAGTACCACAAGTACATGCCACAACTACTAAAGCCGCATGGTTTTGCAGCCAGGCTCAAGGTGCCTCGCACTTCAGCGCTGCCACAGTTGTGGTGTTATCCACAGCGGCAGTCAACACCGGCTGCTGAGCGCCTTGTTGCCACAGAAATCGCACGGAAGGTATCACGTAATTAATTATTACTGTACTTGTGAGCCTCTCATGCGGCAGTCGATCTCTCAAGGCCAGTCAAAGCTGCGCCAAACGTCCTGGCCTTTTGTGACAACTCGCAGTGTCGCTGGCTCCTTCTGGCGGGCTCTCGCGGCCTGCATCATAAGAGTTTCGGCTTCTTGCAATCGGAAGTGCTGTTGAATCGTCGATCGGGTGCAGCATGCTGCTATCCTCCATCACGGGCAACAACGAAAACCACAGCAACAAAATCAGGAACTGCAGCAACAACAAACAATCAAAGAAATGAAAATCCGCTTCAAACGCCCTTAACCCTAAAACACACGCAAAACCAACACGCACCAAGAAAAAGGAAACATGCCGCAAGCAACGGAACAGGAACAGCAATGCAAGGCCAGCAAACATGAACGAGAACAAACATGACAAGACTGCAACCCAAGACAGCAACAACCGTAACAACAAACATGAAACCACCACCAACAACAACAGCAAGAAGAACAAGAACAACAACAAGCAGCGGCAGCAGCACCAGCAGCAGCAGCGGCAGCAGCAGCGGCAGCAGCAGCAGCAGCACCAGCAGCAGCCACAGGAATGCAACCGCAACTGGCAACAACAACAGCAGCAACAGCAACAGCGACAGCAGCAGCAGCTGCAGCAGCAACAGCAACAGCAACAGCAGCAACAACAGCCAGAGCGTGAACAAGAACAAACACCACAACGACAACGACAACGACAGCAGCAACAACGGCAAGAGCAAGAGAAACAGCCAATAACCAACAGCTAACGGCAACTGCATTGCAACTGGCAAACGCAGTAGCAATGGCAACAGCAGCAGCAACGGCAGCCGTAATGTTGCGTTGAATGCAGCGCGAGCGGCTCCACGCATGGCGGGCGTAACGACAGCAGCAGCAGCAACAACAACAACAACAACGACGACGATGTAGTGAGAGCACCATCACACCAGGACCACGTCATCGTCACAACAACTATACGCTCTCGCAACTCGGACAAGCCAGACGAGGTCTCGGGTGCATAGTGCTTGGACTGGTCGGTTTTAGAGCTGATGTCACAACAACTATAAGGACAAGCACGACCACGAAGGTTGCCTCTTCGGCATAGAAGCAAGTCCGCAGCAGACGCATGCAATGGGCATCCCGGCGCCTCTGCATGGAAAGTGATGTCAACGAATGCCTCCTCACACTTCGAGAAAGGCAGATCAGTGGCTAATGCTCCTTTTCAGTCCCAGCATCTTCGTCTGCAGAGACCTCTGCTTGCTGCGGCTGCAGGTCCAACGGTCGAGGAACCATGCTCACCCGCAAACATCTTCAGCATTTGGTTTGGCTGCGAGTCCCAGTAATCGTCTTCACATGCATTGTGAATGCCCGGGCTCGCGTGATTCAAGGCTGTCCGGTTGAGAGATGTTGAGAGTTGTGGCTAAGATCATGTGGGATGTTCATTTTCCCTAAGCTGCATGGGGAAGCCGGGTGATCAGACAGGAAGGCGGCTACTACCGTGTTCATTCAGCATTCCGCCAGTCAAAGCAGCATCGGCAATCATTTTCTGGAACAAGGATGTGCGTGTCAGCAGTCGGTTCCCACTGCTGCCAGCAGCAGACCTCGCTAAGTCGCGAGGCACCACCACCCAACCCCGAGACGAGCATAGAAAGCTGAACCGCGAATATAGTCTTTCAGGATCAACTTCAGCTCCAACCCCTGTTACCCGCAAGGCCGCTTTCCTTCACTTCATGTGAAGCCTCTGTCTCCATACAGAGGTTAATGCTCGAGGACATACTGTACCGGCATTGCCAAGACTGCACGTATGCAAGAAGGCGCAGACCTATATTTTCACTAGCTAGTTCGCCAGTCAAAAACAGAGTGATTGTCGCACGGGCTGTCTTGGCAACGTCCTCCCAAGTCTCGCAAGTTGCTGCTCCCGGCAGCCTTTACCCTCCGGCTGCTGTGGGGATCGGACGGCTTTTCTCACTTCATCTCATTTCTCGGTGATTAAGCGCCACCCACCTGTCGGGGACGAGAGCTTTAGTAAGTTGCAGCGTTTCGGAACCACGCATGGCCTCAGGGCTAGCTTCGCAGCCCAACACAGCTGTCGCATTGGCCTGTCCCCAAATATCCACAAATCATGCATCAAGTCAATTCAAGTCCAGCATCTCCAGCTGTTTGGGACACGCTCCCTGACACTTGACACACACCCAAGAATCCAGTTGAACCTGACTGCATGACGTCGAGAATGCCTTGGAGGCTTTGCCATTGCCGGCCTGGAGGTGCTTAGCAGTGGCCATCTCCTTCTGCGGCTTCACAGACACCCTGTCCTCAGTTCTGCATGGTATGCCAGGACATACTGCGCCCTGAACCGGCATGCGGCATGCCGTCCTTGAGCTCTTGAAATGCCGCGACATTCTTATCCACAAATTGCTGCATCTGCTGCTGCTCAGCATTCCTTCCGCTGCATGCCTGCCATGGGTGGGTTGGGGGACTTGAATCGAGTCTCAACTGGATCTCCCGATCTGCCTGAGCATGCTTTGGCTTGAACTCCTCAGGCTCCACCCACAAGCACTGAAGGGAAACCACAGGAACGGCCGGTTCACTTACATTGCTGTCATTTCGTCTGGCCGTTGCAGCGGGGTCCGTGTGCCGTCATGCTGCATCAAACAGGTGAACACCACCGTGTGTTCGGGCTCCGCTACTTCTGATCTCGTACAGGCAGTGGTGGGGCAATGGGACATGCCGGCGTGGGAGACTATGAGAGTCAGAGTCGCGCGCCGGCCAGAGCCACGTAATTAAGGCTCACACGCTCGCGTGTTTCTAGTGATGCTGCCTGTGCGCATTCACCGTGAGTTCGTCACTCCAGTGGTTCCATGTGGGCCCGGAGGTAACCACGCATCCTGCCTTCTCAAGTTGGTTGGGCCATAAAGTTGGTCCTCAAGAGTCCACTGAGTCCACTCACCGAAAGCTTTTCCTTCCTTGAAAGGAATCTTCACGTCTTCGTCGGCAAACCCAATAAGACGATTGGAAGAAGGGCTAGCGACCGGCGGCTGCAACACCCAGTCAGTTAACGGCTCAACACTAGCTGGAGGAGCGTATCTCCCTATAGCTTCGCACACCGTTTCACCGTTTTCACGGTGGAGCTTGAACGCAGCCGGACTGGCAACACTGTTATACTTCTGATATTCACTCGCCTAGTGCGACCGGCCCCACTCGGGCCAGGATAGCTTGCCTCGCCCACTCTGACTGCTGTGTAGGGGCGCCACTTTCGCACGAGGGTTCCCGAAAGACCAGTGTGTTAGCTGCATGCGTTTGGTGAGTGGTTTGCACTCGCAAGCATGCACACACACACACACACACAGGGACACACACACACAGGGACACACACACACACGCGCGCGGTATGTTAAGGTGACCTAAAACGCACGCTCCCTTTCTCAATGGACACCGCCAAGCAGCGGGACCACCCGCTGGCCTTTGCTGCTGGTCCATCCTCTACTAGCAGGCGCATGGCGACCTTTGCAGATGCATGCAAATGCCATGTCACAAGCAACATGGCCAACCCCACGGGGTGGCAGGAAATGGCAATGTGAACCCGGGACAAGAGGGCCTCAACCACTACCATTCGCAACTAAGGAGGTGGAAGATCTCAAAGCTCAGCCAGGTTGGTCCAACAGAGACGCAAGCCAATGGGCTTGTCCACTTCGTGCCGCTCAACTTCGCGAATTGCGCTCAATTTGCTGGGCGAACCCTCCGCCAAGGTTTCTAAGAGTTCAAGCACACTGACACTGACACAGGTTAGGGATCCCAAAAGATACGGCAGCAGCATGCAGCAGCGACCGAACTCGGGCCCAACGTCGCCCAAGCGTCGTCGGCGACCTGTCGGTGAAGAGAAAAAGAAACAGACGCCGTTCCCGCGACTACCTCCGGAGCTCTTGCAACAACTGTCAGGCTCCATCCAAACAGCGCGCCAGGCCAACCAAGGCGAGGGCTCAACGCTGGTGCTCTACGTCATCTCCGTCTTCACGTTCCGCACCGATCATCTCACTAGGACGACTCGTGCGAGGCCTGCGGCCGCCGTGCCGCGATCCGGTACATTCCAACTTGTTCTTGGGGAGAAGACACACTCACGGAAAGTACTTGGGAAGCTGGTGTCCGTACTGGACGCGGCGACCCCCAAACTGTCAACCGAATATGGTGCGGAGCCAACACGATGGTGAGCATGCTCCAGTGCGGCAGCAATATAACAACAGCAGGGAGACGAGAGCAAGCAGGACAACCAGCACGAAAATTTTGTGCAGCCAGTGACGCGCGACCGGCGGCTGCACCCGCAAACAAGTCTCGCTTCTACAGCTTTCGCTAACAGGCGAACAGACGTTCGGTCCTCTTTCCACTACCCGCGGAGTGTCGTGGCGTCGGGTCGCAGACCCCTGCTCTAGCCCTTTCAAAGCGAACAGGTCGGTCCACTGAACTGCCTCCTGGCGGGTGTGGAGGGTGCTAAAGAAAACTCGAGAGGCACAGCTGCTAACCGGCATTCATTTGTGCTCGCTCTACTTGTCACAAGACACCAGTGTGTTTGCCCCATGCGCGTGCCGCGTGCTTGCGCGTGCAAGCATGCCAAGTTCGCAAGGCCTGATGTTCTACCAATGTGGTTCTACTCATGTCTTATGGTCAAAAGAGGGGCTTCGTGGTGCAGTGCCGTTCCGATCCAATCTCACGAGTCACGCAAAGTCTCCTGCAGAGTCACCTTGGCCGCTTGCAGGGCAGCAGCCCGCATCTTTTCTTCAGAGGAGGATGAGGACAGCGCAGTGGATGCCTTCGAGTTCGGCTGATGCACAGCTGATCGGCTGATACACCATGCAGTACGCAGGCTGTCGGCACTCCCTCAGGCCGGCACATGCTGCTGTGAGGCCATCGCGGTCTCCACTTCAGCATTTGCTGTCGCCACATTCTCTGCGAGCTCTGTTGTCACCGCACCCGCTCCAGAAAGGTTCGAGTCAAGTTCCGAGATTCGCGCAGAAAAAGCTCTTTCAAGCTCCTGCAGGGCTTCCTCTAGCATAGGCTTTTCGTGCTGATCACATGCCCTTGTCTCGTCGTGCTTCCGTGTCGCCTACATGTCCACCCAGGGTTTGGCAGAACTATGGCTAGCTTAGCCACGTGATCCGAAGCTCTCGATTTTTTATGTCCACGTCTCCTCAAGAAGCATGGCATCAAATTGCCCGCGGTTCCCCGGCTTCCTCGGGCAAGGTCACAGATGACTAGGTGGTGATGTCAGCAGGAGCGGGTTGGTCCCTGAACTCTTGCAGCCCTTCATACTTGTTGTGAGCTGCTTCCATTATCTTCCATTTCTCGCACACACACACACACAACTGGGAGGGGCAACACTTCTCCACGCAGCTGCGGGGCCATGCAATGTTCATCTCATGAAGCTAATTACCGTGGTCCTGTGCACGATGTTGTCTGTTGACGTAGATTCTACGACGTAGACGTAGATCTGCTTAAATTTGATTGTTGGGTCTAGTTTTACTTCCGAAGTATTTAAGAACCCGTATCCGCCGTCGCCGAGCATGCGCAGATCAGCCTTCGTCTCGGCATGGCTCGGCGCTCGGTGCCTGTGTTTATGCCAAGCATCTTCAGAAGAGTACATCGCATTGCCGTTCGCAAAGATGAGTCGGTCTTCAGCTTCTGCAAGAAATTTCGGGCTTACCATACACTTGAAGATCTTTGCCGCATCAAGACCCAAAACATCCAGGCAAGGATGATTTCTCCCATCCTTCAGCACCAGTGGCTCGAGTGAACTGAACAGCCGCTCTGCTTCACCTGCCAGGTCAGCTTATTGAGCTCACTGCCACTGCTCTGTCTTCCATCAGATGCACGCGAGTCGCCATCCTCCCACTCGCCAGCCTTGAGCCTTTGCGAAAGACTTTGTTGCATCTCACCAAGACAACGTCGACCTGCATCTTAAAGTCTTAGATCTCACCTGCCTCGCGAAGCACCCAGTACTTATAGCTTGCTGGAGCATGGCCTGGACACTGATGCAGCCAAGCCAATGGGTCTTCGAATCGAGCGTGGGTTGTTTGTTCTTAACATGTCTTAACAAAGCGATACCTTGTCATCAGTCGCAGCTTGTCTCGCTCGCTGTCCAGCTGCTTCGGCTTCTTTGGCCGCACTCAGCTTCTCCTCGATCAGAGGCATCTCTCCAGATTTCCCACACGTTCCGGCACGTCACTTCAGGCCAAGCCTGCGCGGCTGAAACAGCAGCAGAGGCGGCAGCAACCACAGCCTGCTTCTCACAAGCGCAGGCCTCACCCAGGAAGAAACACCGCGTCAAGGTCGAGAGCAGGGTGACTCACGACTCCGCAGGCCCTGCCGCAGGCCTGCGCAGCCTTCAACTGGTCCTCCGCTAACCGAATTGCTTGATCAAGTCGTGCCTGGCGTCACGGAAGATAGCACGAATGCGCTTGATGACGTCAAACCTCACAAGCACTCGGCTGCCTTTTCCGCGTCCATTAACTCTAGCTTCTCGTTCGCTTTGTCAAGCGACTCCTGCATGCCAGCCAGCATCTCGGTCACCACCTGCCCGGGCGCACAGTTTGACACATCGACTCTAGCATGAAGCTCCGATTGGTCGGCTAGCTTGCACCCTCCACGACTTTGCCATGCTGAAACTGGTTTGTCCAGACTCGCACAGCTTTTTTGCTTGCACCGTGCGCAAGTCACTTGGAAGAGGACTTGTTCATACTAGGCCCTTATCAATATCGTTTGTGGCCGGCGCTGCGTGGATTCGCTCTGCACACCGGCCCCGGCTACATCTGGGTCACTTCCAAACGCTTCGAATCTCGGCGGAGCCGTCGGCATTGATGACACACTGAGAATGCATCTTGACACCTTTCCACCCTGGCTGCATCCACTCCCAGCTCTTCCAATCATCCCAATCAATCTTCATGGCATCCTGGAGGTTCGGCAGCTGACGAGGCTGCATCCGGGGCGGTAAGTCCTTTGTCGGCACATTGTAGAACTCCTGGTGCAGCTTGTCTTCTATGATAGAACGCACCACTGCAAAGTCATCCGACATGCCTGCTGTGCTTGCCGATATCACAGAGCTTGGGCCGAAATCTGGCAAGAGTTCTCGGCTTGTTCAGGCAGGCCATGGCAAGCCTATTGTCAAGTCCACAATGATTGCAAGTACATGCCTTGAATCCTAAGGTCCTATACACATAAGCAGTCTTGGCTCTTGTTCGACAAGAACTGCTCTGCACTTGTTCTGCTCGACCCCCAAATCCACTGCGAAGTTCGTAGTCCGCGGTAGAAGAAACTCCGACATTTAGTAGATCTTCACCACCACTACATGCGCTCCACACCATATACCCGCGCTCCAGAGTAAAACTTGCTACTACAATCCTTGACTACTGCAGCACATGCGCTTGATCATCCGCAGGCATCTAGGCGTGCAACCTTGTCCACCAGTCCCACGACGGCTTCTTGGAAGGTATTTCTCTCATCTGATGCCATCACCAGACCTGACATGCTTGAATTTTGAATATATTCACGCCGCCAAAATGCATTCCACAACCACTGAAATCACTCTGCAGGCGACTGAAAGGGAGTGAGGCCATGAACATGTCCTTGCAATCCTGCAGGGCAAGTCGAGGGGTCACACACAGCAAACGCCGAGTTGCTTGCATCAGCGAACCTGCGATAAATGTGCGGCTGCGGAATGAGAGAACACCTTGACTCACTCGCGAGGACCAAACGTCACATGATATGTACCGTGGCCGCGCTTGAGTCTTAGGTGCTGACATCTGCTACATGGCGATATGTAGATTCCTTGATACCGTGCCTGGCACGAGTCACAAGCCAAGAGGATTAGGTCTGAACTCTGAACTGCTTCCTCTCTAAGAGCCTCTTGAGAGATGTGAGCAGCTTCTTGGCCGGCGGCTCGTCCTGCTCTGAATTCGTCAAGCAAGGAGGATGTGCGCAGTAGTAATAATGCCCTTTCTGGCGTCCTCTTCTGGCACTTGAATCACTCGTTTCGCGCTCTTCTTTGGAGCCATAAGGCCTCTATGCGATCTGCACCTGTCATTCAAGCAGGTACAAATGCCACCTCAGCTCTATGGTAGCGGAGTTTAGCGATCACCTGTGGCAGCAGAGTGGCTCTGTCCCACTCACTGACTCTTGAGCCGGGAAGCAGCTTCGCAAAACCCTGAGCTTTGAGTTGATCCCGCAACTCGCAACAACTCCATAACTTCGCTGTAGCTCGAGCACCAACTCTTTCTGGCTCGCTTGCAGGTGCGTCGCTCACCCAACACGTGCTCTCGACCTAATGCACGCATGCTCGGCTGAGTCACATAGGCTCTCAATCACAGCTCTCTCCGAGTGCAACGCCACAGATGCAGCACCAACAGCCGCAGGGCGAATGCATTTGGCCTACAGTGAACGATCTGTCGTCAACTAGATATGCGCAGCTGGCACAGCCAGTGCAATGGCAGCATCTGTGCCGAGTGCTGGGAACTGAGCGCGGACCTGCTGCCAGGTCTGTTCACACGCCGTGAGTTGAAGCTGCGGAGAAACCAATGTGCTGTATTGGAGAGGTCTGGATGCTGGATGATTTTCGCACTGCCTTTTCGGCGGCGGGGCCGTCGAATGGAAGCTCCTTCGGGAATTTGGCAACGATCGGTGAGCAGTCAACTCACCCAGAATCTCTTCCAACGTCACGTCTCCAGCAACTGTACGGGCACGTGGCGATGCTCCACCTCTGCACCATCCTTAGAACCACTTCTTCTACCGCAGATTCATAACAAGCTCGGGAGGTAATCGTTTTTGCACCCTGCCGTCTCTTGTACAGCCAGCCCTTCAATGGGGAAGTCAAATCCTGGGCACTGCTTTCGCCGTGAATACCACAAGATGACGTTGAACCCTTGCGCCTGGCAGCCGTGCAGCAAGACTTGGAAGCAGCTGCAGCAGTCGATTGAGAAAAAGGCTTCCTCGGCTACGAATGCGACCAAGTACACTCTTGCAGTCTGACTGCGTCGGCGCCTGGGGCCACTGCGGTTTGGGCGGCCAACATCTGCTAACAGAACAACCTGGGAAGAGATCCGGTTCGAAACTGAGCACTCGGGACACGACCTAGTCTGAAAATCAGCTGATTCCTGACAACTTGGCTCTCCGACACTTCCGCGCAGGTGCGCTTCTGCCACCCGCTCCGCCATGGCCTTCGCGGTTCTGGCGTCGTAGAGGACCTGTGGGGGCATGTGAAAGACACCCCGCACACACACACACACACACACACGTGCGCGTATCGGCCGGAGGTAGAGGCGCGGAAAGATCGCAAATATCCAGCAACCGAGTGTGGACTCGCTTGCTGAGATCCTGACATCTTGCTATGTGGCAGAAGGTTAAAGTTGCTTTGCACATCCCGACCAATGGTTGGAACATTGCCACTAGCTGGACGTAGTGAGTTTCGCCCCATGAGGCTGGAAGCCATCATGCAAATCTAGACTATGGACGAATGCAGCGTGACCTTGGCCATCGACAGATCTTTGACTGGTGTCAGTGGGAATCGCATCCATGAAAGGCAAGGAAGTTCTTGGAATCTTGGCTTCGGTTGGATCCAGAAGCTCTGTTGCTACAGATCTGAATCTCGGCACGTCGAGATGCTGGAGAAAGTCTGCAGATACATTGTCATCTGTTATTAGAGGAAATGGCGTCATGACGCATCTCCCAGATCATACCCCCACGGCTCAGCTCTTCTAACAAGGACAGCCATGGAAACCGCAAGAAGTGGTGCCTGACACGCCTCTAAACCAAGCGGCAACGAGCATCAACTTAAAATGACAGGCATTCACTTGGCACATAACTCCGATGAGCTAGTTGACAGAGGCTCGCAGCACCGCGACCATGTTGCTACCGATGATAATAGCACAGCAGCACGGAATAGTGAGACCGTGCCATCTTTGTGAAGCACTTCCCCCTGTGAGCCTGCCGCCTCGCAGATGCAGCCACCAGGCATAGTGGCGATGATCGGAAATCGGTGGAAATCACCTCGAAGCCCAAACGTGCTGCCTTGGCGGCTGTTCTTCGGGGGGGACGGGAAAGCGTAAAGCGTAAAGCGGGGCGGAAGAGGCTAAGCCCGGCACGGCGAGTGAAACCAACCCGCAGCCAGCCCCGAGCTCCTCCCACGAAGCGGAGCTTCGCCGAGGGCTCAGAAAGGAGGGTTCCGCTCCAGAAGTCTTCGGGAACCAGTGGAGGCTTCAGCGGCGTAGCTTGCAACTCCTTGAGCTAGGACCTCTGGCAGAAGCCACTGGCAAGCAATCGCCTGCTCAACCGACTATGAGGCTGGTGCAAGAGCAGAAGGCCAAATGGCGAGGCCATACGGATCCAACCTGTGGATCTCTTGTTCCGATTGCATAGAGGTGATCCCATAACACTTGGCATCAAGCAGGCCCCGATGTCCACCGTCAAGCTGTAGGTTCTGCCTCTCTGAATCCACAGCCTGGCACGCAGCCGCTTCTTTCCACTGGTGCATTTCGTCCTGAGCTGGCCTGCTCGATGCCGGCTTCCTGGCGTGCTTGCGACGCCTCCAAGACACATAACCGAAGCCTCGGACAGCAAACGGAGTTTGGGGCCGAGTGAACACAAAGCAAAGCAGACTTGGTTCCCAGCTCTGGGCCAAGGACCACTTCAACAGCGACAGGGTGAGCAAGCACCAGTGCATCTTAGCATGGGGACATCTCTAAAGCAGGTTCATCACAGACGGGACATTGATCTCTAAAGCATGAAACACAAATCGAATCACGAGGAAGGACTTACAAGTCCTGGCCGCGCGCGCTGGTCAAGAGCGGTACACCCATTTTACCGGCGAGGTTGTGCGCTCTCTGAGGTGGCTCGTCCCACGAGAAGCATGAGCTGATGCTTTCGGTCTTCCTGATTGATCTGAGTCTAACAACACAACCGGCGTTTCGAATGTTGGTGGACACAGCCTGCGGCCTTGCAGGTGTGCCAACACCCCGGGCATTCGCTTCTCGTGCTAGGCAGCCATCATGTGTGAGACGTCTGCCGTGCGATACTCTTCTGCTAATACCTAATAGTAAGATTCACTGTAGACCCACACCCACATGATTGGACCTAGAAAGAAGGGCATTCGGCACCAGGTGGCCGCACCAAGAAGCTTGGCATGTCAAAACTGCTACAGCTGCTGCAGGCTCAACTGATTCAGCGGCGCAAAGCCGCGAGTTATTCAACCCAAACTGAAAGCTGAAGAAGTCTGCAGCTGCGAGGCTTCCCACTGTAGTATACTGGGCTGCATCCGGCAGAGATAACTTGTGGTGAAGCACCCGTAGCGGCAAGTCCGGCGTGGCATAAACGAGGAACAAATTGGCCCCCGCTCTACCACATGCCCTTTCCGCCCTTTCCTCCATATGGTCCAGCAGCCATCATGCCTCCCTTCAGACCACCTTTGCCACCACCTCCCCAACCGCCCTTGCCGCCGTCCCAGCCCCATCCACCGCCTCCGCCCCACATGCCCTTGCCCCCATCCCACATTGGACCCCATCCACCCTTCATGCCCATCGGTGGATCCAAGGGCTGGCTTCCCCCGGTGACATTCTTGGCCTCGCAACAGGGGTTATCAAACGTGCCTGGGCTACTTGATGTGCGACGATCTATTCATTGGACGAAGCAGAATGCGGACTGCGATCTTGAGACAGGGCTTCACACAGAACACAGGTTGGGATCCCGCCTGTTTGCTGCCAGGCTTGATAGGGCTCTCCTCGATGTCAAACTTAACTGTATCTCCTGCCATTGGCTTGCTGCCCACGCAGTCTTTGATGTTGAAGAACATCTCCACACCGTCTTCCATGACGATAAAGCCATAGCCTTTCGCGCCGAAACTTTTGACACTCCCAGTGTAAGCACCAGTGCCTTCGACCGGGCCCGCGAACTTGGGCTGACCCCACACGTCCGTCCGTGCTGCAGAACAGCCCTTGACACTTCGAGCTTGCATCTGCTCCGGGTTGTTTTTCCTGCAAGGCAGCTTACGGGATGCTACAATGGAGACCTTCTGCGTGCCTGTGCAGAAGCGCATGCACGGTCCTGGGCTCATAGTTGAACGTAAGAACGTCACCTTCCTTCGGCTGCTTTCCGGGCTCGCAGTCGGTGTTGTGGACAAAAACCGTGACGCCGCCCATGTCGATGAAGCCAAACCCCTGGCAAAATGACATTTACACATGCACAGGGCGCAAAGCCACGAATCCAACGCTCGTGCAGGATGACAAAGCCTTCATGATGTTGAACTGCGAGCAGGTGCCCGTCCCTTCTGGCAGGGCTGCGGCATCCATCATGGCTCTTAACGAGGTGGAGGGGCCACTTTCTGAGCCCACCGCTCCTCCCGTCTAAACAAATCTCTGAATCTTGAAGCGCGTCGTGCTCTGCTTTCAACATTGGATTGCTGTGGGAATGCCCGATTCTGCAAAGCCAAGACTTCAGCCGACTCGAGGGTTTGGGCCAAACTGCAACAATGTGGTGGGCAGTCTTTTGGAAGAGCACAATGCCGTGAGAACATGTTCGGTCAGTCTCTTAGCAACTTGAAAGGGCCCGGCCACCATCGCGACTCGATTCCCCGAAGAGCTTGAGGACCTGGAAACAGGTAGTGAAATCATCAATAATCGGGTCAAGGCCCCTAGGCTCCACGTAGGAATACTAAAATCATGGCAACCAGACATCAGAAAGCAACCGACGCATGCGGGCAACGGCAGCCGTCGACGGCGCTTGGCAGAAACCTGCGCCGCGATAGCCCGCGTTCTGGCAATGTCCTCTAGCAGGGAGCAGATACGGCTGTCCCTCGCCCTCGCCTCGGAAGACGAACTGTTTGAATCGTCTTCCACTGCCATGTTGCTGATTATCAGCAAGAGGGGGTGGAGTGTGATTAAACAAGTTTGGGGCAAACCTCGGGTGAAGAGATCGTGCCCTATTCATCCGTAAAAAGCACTCTTGTCATCTGCAGGGCATGTCTTCCAAGGTGCCAAGTGATGCAACTGCAGGCCATGGTCCGCTTGGCCAGGCTCAGTAAAGAGAACTAAAGTACATCCCTAAAGGAGGTGCTTCGGAATTCTACTTATCAGGCACTTGCAGGTTGGCGTGAGGTGCGGGCTTCCTTGGGCCTGCGGCGAAGCCCCAGGATCCGACATTTTGCAAGTCGCTGTCCTTTTGGGAGGTGCTTTGCGGACTACAGCCGCCACTGCAGACCTTGAATGTCATCTTGCATACGACATCCTGGCGATCTGGGGAGGCATTTGAGCACTTAGCTGTAGTCAGCATGCAATCCAATCTCCGCAGAGGCGCGCTTCTTTGGCTGGCGAGTTGTGCACGTTGAGGTGGCTCTTCCCACGAGAAACAGCAGCTTCTGGTCTTTATGCCGTCTCCCTGACTCAACCTTGCAGTATCGTCGTGCACCTAGCTGTGTTCATGGCCGGCTTGTGCAACCGTACATGTAGCCGTGCCCAAACCCCGTTCACTTGCTTCTCGTGTTGTGCAGCCATCATATGTGAGACGTCTGACATGTAATACTCAGAGATCGGCTTGCGATCCCTCTGAAGGATCTGGAAACGCATTAAGCAGGGCTGGCCACACCAAGAAAGGTCAAAACTGCTACAGCTGCCACAGGCAAACTGGACAAAAGACTGAAGGATGCATTAAATTCGGTGAACACCATCTGAAAGCTCGTACACTAACCTGCGGCAGCGAAGCCATGCGATTTTTTCTACTTAACCGCCTAAAGTGAAAAATCGCGTTGACTGCTAGTGTGACGGCTCACCAGCCTGTGCTCACTGCACCCGTGGCAAAGATTGCTTGTGGTGAAGCGAAACAGGCGCTGCGGCAAGTCAAGCACGGATGAAGCGAGGAGCGAGGTGACACCCACTCTACCACATACCCTTGCCGCCCTTTCCGTATGGCCCGGCAGCCATCATTCCACCCTTGAGACCACCTTTGCCACCACCTCCCCAACCGCCCTTGCCGCCATCCCAGCCGCCATTCCAGCCCCATCCACCGCCCCAGCCCTTGCCTCCATCCCACATGGGACCCCATCCACCCTTCATGCCCATCGGTGGGTCCAAAGGCTGGCTTCCTCCGGTCACGTTCTTGGCCTGCCAGCAGGTGCTGCAACCGAAAAAATCACTCGAATATCCTCCTTACGTAGCCGCACTGTGCTGACAATGTGGAAGTGTGGGATCCCGCCTGCTTGCTGCCCGGTTTGATAGGGCTTTCCTCGATGTCGAACTTAACTGTATCTCCTGCAACTGGCTTGCTGCCCACGCAGTCTTTGATGTTGAAGAACATCTCCACACCGTCTTCCATGACGATGAAGCCATAGCCCTTCGAGCCAAAGTTCTTCACCGACCCTGTGTATGCACCTGTGCCTTCGACTGGCCCGGCGAAGGCAGGCTGACCCCACACGTCCGTCCGTGCTGCAGAACAGCCCTTGACACTTCGAGCTTGCATCTGCTCCGGGTTGTTTTTCCTGCAAGGCAGCTTACGGGATGCTACAATGGAGACCTTCTGCGTGCTAAATTCAGGTAGATTCTAGCGAGCACAGACAGAAAGGAAGGCACATGCACGGTCCTTGGCTCATAGTTGAACGTAAGAACGTCACCTTCCTTCGGCTGCTTTCCGGGCTCGCAGTCGGAACTGTGGACGAAAACCGTGACGCCACCCATGTCAATGAAACCAAACCCCTGGCAGAATCACATCTGCACATGCACAGCAAAGAAAAAGTCTCGACGGGTGAATCGAATCGGGCATGCTCTGCCAACAGGGCCTGCCTTCATGACATTGAACTGCGAGCAGGTGCCCGTCCCTTCCGGCAAGGCCGCAGCATCGGTCATGGTTTCCAGTAGGGCCAGAGCTATTTCCGAACTCACTTGAGGCCAAATGCCTGCAAGCCCCGCTTCTAGACAGGTCTGCGGCGAAGGCTCGAACGGATAGCGCATGATTATGCTTGCCGTATCTTGACGACAACACACACTGCCGAAAAACACTCGCGTTTCCTCTTTCTCTCTCCTCCTCCGTCTTGTCTCCACAGCACAACAGTATCCAACATCCCCACACACACACAAACACACTCAACACAACGGAGAAAGAAGTGTCAAATAGTTGGAGGGCTGACAGCTCTCGAGACTGAGGCTTGCAGGTTTTTCGCCTGCAGGTTTTTTGGCTCCCGCATGGCAGTCCCAAAGGTCTACATTGCAAGTAATGCGACTGAGGAAAACCGAGTGACTGGTCGACGGCAGGGTTACATCAAGTACATGACCAGGTTCTCGAGTGGCTGTGTCAGTTCTTTTTCTCGACTCATCAAACACTCGGTGATCTTCTCAATCTCGAATCACATTTTGGCCCACCTCCCTTTCAGCCCTTCCGCCACAGGTCCCTCTGCACACTAGTGCCTGCTGAAACACTCAAGGTTGTGGTTTCGGGCAACGCATATCGGCACAGCGACAATCCCAAGTATCTCCCAGTCGAATCAAGCCAGTCAAGGCCTTGCGGCTCTTTAGACAATCTTTGGAGCAGGGCCGGCACATTTCATAGTTGTTGGCTTTGAGGAGGTGCAGGCACGGCCCGAACTTGCAAATCTGCCCACTCTGCGGGTGGGTGTGCTGAGGAAACTGGCTCTTGTCTACAGCAGCAAGCGCTCCTCACCGAGTCAACCCCATTGCCATCCCCCATGCATGGTACGCACAGCGGACAAGGCCGCAAGATCACTGACTTGGAAGAAGCCTTTGCAGGGCCCCGAGGTTGCAGGGGCTCCGAAACCACTACGCTTGGCGCACTTCATCTTCCCCTCGGTCGGCACGTCGACCTCCCCACGATCGTTGGCATGGGTTTGTCAACAGCTCCAAGAGAAGCAGACGTTCTCCAGCGCGAACCATGCCAAATCAAACTGCATGCTTCAGCCAAATGGCTATGGATCTTGGGAGAGCCTGGCTTATTCCACGGTACTGCCACGCACCTGACAAGAGACCAGCAGGGATCTCTTTATTCTTTTCGCTGAGTCTGTCGGCTGGACCGGTCAGATAGGTGGTGACGGCTAGAAGTGGTTTGCCACGGCCGATCAACCACCACAAAATGCAGCTCGAATTACTTACGAAGGTTTGGGTTTGAGCCAAGCCCGAGCTGGAAAAACATACAAATGCTGGAACTGGGGCTGCTGTTCTGCACGACGCTCTGCCCTCCCCCAAAGTTTACGGGGAAGCGGCAAAAGGATCCCCGCCGGATCTGGCAGGCCCCATGTCTGCTGCCTGAATCCCAACACCTGGAAACCAGAACCGACATGCACGGCCTTCTCGAGTGACTAGAGTTGTTGGACAGCTGAATCTAAACGCAGTTTTGCGCACACAGCCGCAGACATTTATGTTCGCTACTCTTGTTGTCTATGGTATTAGTGTCGGTAGGGTGCTTGTGGTCACTACTGCTTTCGCGATGTGAATGCATATCTAAATCTGGATCTATATGCTCATGCTTATTTACCTACCCTTCCGTCTTTCGATCGACCCATCCAACTATCTAATGATAATGTAACCATCCATCGATCCATCCATCCATCCGGATCCATCGGGATCCACCTCAATCCACTCGAACACACCCATCCGCACGTATGTATGCATGCATGTATGTATACACGTCTGCATGCATGAGCTTCTGTATAGTACCATCCAATTAAGTGGTCGGTATGCACACTCCGGAGCGAATATGTGTGCTTGGAAAGAACCTCAAACACCAGTCTCTGTATCACACGAACTCAGTGCAGTAGATCGCATTGATGCATCTGGACAGATGTTCGAAGAGAGGCAGCACTCAGCAACAAAAGGAAACTGTACAGTCCCGACCCTGCCAGCGAAGGTCGGGAAGGGATGATGCAAACAAACCGCACGGTTTGAAAATTGAGGCTGAGAGTTCTGTCGATTCGATCGAGCGTTTTGTCGGTTCGATTGTTCTCAGTGTAGTTTCTCGCCTCCTCGGTTGCCTTCGAACAGGCAGGACCCTCATAGAAAAGGCGCCAGTGAGTAGATTCTGGCCACGCTCCAGGTTTGAGGGGCCTGACACTTAATGTCTGGGCCGTCGTCGAGATGGAGCGCAGGCGGAGTTCAATCAGCAAGCTCGCTCGGAAACCTCCACGACGCTGAATCCTGCAAGCTCGCATTTCCTGTACTGTTGCGACAATCATAAGGAGGCCTGGTCGGAGGCTAGCAGTGTTGTGACCACGTGCGCAGCAGCCGGGCCGCAAGAGCCCTGAAGGACATCGCCAGCCTCGCAGCATGAGGGCTTCAGCCTGTTTGCTGGGCAGCCACAGAACATGTAGGATGCTCACGAAAGCAGCTAGTCTCCGCATATGCCTACGAACATTTCTTTCGCGCCGGCGTTCATCTATGCATATGTCTCAACCGAAAATGCAGACTACTCACGCAAGACCATGCAGAAGCACTGCTTTGATGGTTCTCATGCGCAATGACTGCGACGTCGCGGCTCTATTGTTGGCAAAAGACCGCTTCGCTTCACGACAAGTCTGCATAAAATTTCTAGTGTTATTCTTCCAGCGTCCTAAGTGGCTGCTGTTTCGGCGATTCGGGCAGCTGCATGCGTGGCGATGTGCTTTTGTAACAGGCTCTTCTTGAACAGCTCTCCTCTGATTCGGCTCGCTAGCGCAAATGCCTCTTTCAAGGCGATGAACTGGATCTTCTCCTGACTGTGACTACGCTTTTAAGCACCCGAAGGCTTTTGGATCGTACTTCTGCAACGGTGAAATGACGAACCACCCGCCTGGAACTTCGTTATCGTCCCTCTCCGGACAGCTGTTCATCAACAACTACATGTCTTTTCCGTATCGCATCTTTCGAAGTGACACGCAGGTGTCATGTTGGCACCCCGCTTTGTGAACCTAACTACAGATGCTTGGCCTGGACGAAAGCAGAAAAAACGTTCATTAGTCAGATAGTCTGTCGAAGTTCAAAGATGCAGTTCAACATCGGCCAAGCGACAAAAGCGAGACAGAACGACGAAGCCTGCAAGAGGTGAAGTAGTTGTAGCATGTCACATTGAGTAGGTATAAGCTGATCCGGAAGCCTCGTCAAGTCTCCGCTTCTTTAAGCAAGGCAAGGCCCACTTCGCACTCACGAATTGCACCCTCTAGTGTACCCAGCGTGGCCAGTCTGCTGCACAGACCTGTCAAGTCCAGGTACCGCATGCATCCCGTGACATCTTTCTGCAAATGGCAAGTAGAAGCCGCAAGCCGCTCCTGCAGCTGACGTCGGATTTGATCTTGTGCCGAGCAACGCGGAAAGACCTGCGACAGTTCTGCCACGGAGTTGAGAGCCCGGACAACATTACAGCCCAGACGTGTTTTCCCGTGCAAAGGTGGAAGAGTTACTTGTCATAGAAGAACAAAATAGCATGCGGCAGGGTAGCAGCAAGGAATCACGGGCAAGGTGCTGCTCTTTGTTGGGGAGTCCGTGCATATCACCGCCTGGAATCTCGTGGCCGACAGAGAGATTTGTTGTATTCGCTTTGTGGGTGCTTGGGTAGGGCATAGAAGAGTCGAGAGGCCTGGAAGCGAGAAAAGGCATACACTCCATGCAGAGAGACAGAGAGAGGGAAAACGAGAAATGACAAATGCATTACCAACACCAGAGTGCGACTGAGCGATTCAGTGTGCCTGCAGCTAGAACCTGTAAACGGCGAGTGGCGTTGGGCCTAGGAAGGCTGCAATGTGAAGCCAGCGTGAGACAGGGATCAATTGCCGCAACATGATGCACATCTGCACTTGAGGTTCGTGCACCTCCTGCACACTCCGCGTGCACTGTGCGCAAGCACGCTGTAGCGTTGTCCTCCCGTCCTTGCAATGCAGTTTGGCCACAATGCCCACAGCTAAGTTAGCTACAGTGAGTTGTCCAAGGCCGGGCGTCCATGAGAATTCGGCTCGGCGAACATTGGCCACAAACTAGTCTCCCACAAGCTCGGCAATGATGCCGTGGATTTAGAAAGCCTCGTGGGAAACAGAATGTCTGCTAGTGCTGCTAGTGCACGATGTTGCCAAGCAGCGTTTGCCCAAGCGGGCGTGACATATCCAGCAGTCGGTTTCGCTATCTTCCTGCCCATGGCCTCGTACAGGGTCGAAGGATCACAACTGCCTTGCCTTTTTTGGCCACCTACTTCGCAGCGACGAGCCCGCATGGCTTGAGAATTCTGGCCTGGTGCGGGCGGCCCAGGTGTGATCAGCCTGCAGGCAAGTTTGGACTATGGATCTTGGAGAAAGGCCGTGGGCACCACGTGCCACCATTCCTAAACAAGCGGGACTATGCCAAGGCCCTGAGACCCTAAGAATTAAAGCGGTTGCGAGTGGCTCCGCTTTGCAGCACACTGCCGCTGGGCCTCGTGCTGTATTGCACATTTCTTGTGGGTTGGATTAGAAAGCTTCATGGCCTCGGATCCTGTTCACAATCTCTGTTCCGATTGAACTCCGTGCGGAGATTGTGCAGCTGGTCTTCAGCTTCATGGCATCTTCGTTCCTCAGGAGTGCTCAGCAAAGAAAGATCGTTTGAGTGCAGTCGGCCGGTCAGAAGACTTTCTTGCTCGACCTTCAAGCCAAGAATCCGTGATCTTGTGCTGCACACGCAATTTCCTGACGAATTGGCGGGGCGGAACTACAGTATCGTAAGTGCAAATGAAAAGTCCGCCGGCCTAAGGGGCTCCACTGCAGCTTCCAAGCTGCTGAGTGCATCCTGGCGATTGAAGCCGACACTCAAGCCGCACAATATTGCAGGATGCTTGCATGCCTCCAGTGTGACAGGTGCCACATCAGCAGTTGGCCTGCGGCGCGGCAAGATTCGTGAAAGCCTGCCTGTCCAAACCACCAGCTGTTCCCACGTGACGGCTCCTGCCAGCCAGATCTGAAAGCTGCCGCGACAGGAAGGAGAGCTGCTGGGTCAGCGCCGACCTTTGGAACGTTTTGGCTTGACGTTGGCACATCAGCCCTCGCACGGATCTAGGTTTCCTACAGGGCCGAACCTGCCACCTCGTTGTCCTACCTCGTACTTGCATAAGAAATCTACATTTCAAGCCGAGGTGCGCTCTCGAGGCAGTCGCAGCACACTGCAAGCAGGACCTCTGCACCCCCTTCTGGCCGGACAGAGGCACGCGACAGGGTGAACCTCGAGTCTGTGTCAGCAATGGTCCCCAAGGGGCATGGCATGAGACTTATGAGATCGACTCAGCCAGGAGCAGGATGCACAAACCTCGGTGACTCCCCAGAACAGCGCGGAGCAAAGTCGGGCGACAAGGCCGCAGCAACTCAGGGCACCTACGGGCCGGCAACAGAGTCTGCAGTGGTGTCGCGGGTTGAAATGTCGCTTTCCCAAAGCACCTCGCGGTGTGCAAGCACAAGCCGCGCATTGCACGATTTGGGGCTCAGGCCGAGGTGCTGTGGCAGATCGCACAAGAGTCTCCATCCTCGTCGCTCTGCAGCTGGCAATGGGACCTCGAGTCTTCAGCATGCCACGTCGGAGCTGCGGATCATGCGCATCGTGCAATGCGGCAGTGGCAGCACGCATGGCATGTCGTGGTCAAGCCTCTGCCGCTCAGGAGAAGGGGGCTGCGACGAACACTGCGTCGAGCAGAAGGTTGAGGATGGCTCCATTGCACGCTTCCGGCCACAGCAATTAACAGCTCTGATTCACCTAGCCAAACATGTCGTCAGTTCACATTTGATTTCCGCTTGCAGTTGACATTGCTGATCCTGTGTACGACCCACAGCATCAAAGACACAATGCTTGCTTCCTGCCTTGCGATGTGTAACTTTGAACAAGCTGTAAACTTCCGCTCGCAAAATGTTTTTCGATCGGAAACAAGGACCGAAGTGTGGGTCTGCAATGCCATGATAGAGTGCAGCGTGTCCTGGGTCGGCTTTGGCAGCAGCCTTGGATGCGTTTGCCCGGCAGCAGTGCATTCACGCCAGACTCCCCATTTCCTCCCCCGCTTATAAAATCCAGGCCGCCCTTTCAAGAGCTTCCAAAAGCCACCGAAAGCCGCTGGAGCTCCAACCAGGAATGCGCGACGCATTCGTCCACGGTACGCGTGCTTCAGCATCTAGTCAGGGGGCAGGGACCAGCGCATTCTCAAAACGCCTGGCTAAGTCTTAGCGGCTAAGTCAGGGGGTGTAGGACCAATGGTTGTGATGAACAGCAGGGTGAGCAAATCCTCATCGTTTCACTTGGCCTCCATCGCCGAAACTGCAGGTCGAGGATCTAGATTTTTGGAAAGCTGGAACCCACGGCAATCACAAACCTTGGTGTTCTCTTCTAAGCCTTGCTTGGTGGCCTGTTTGACTTGTTCCAGATGAGGCACCACGTCGAAGCTTCGCGGGGTTCCTTTCGCTGAACAGACCGCGGCTTCCAGCACCACAGCCAAGTGCCTCAGCTACGGCCAGCTTTCCACACTGTTAAGGCCAGTCCATGGCCCATAAATCTGCAGTCCAAGCGCTCAGCTGTGCTGATGCCTAAGTCTGGAATCAGGTCGGTCGGACAGGAGAAGCTCAGGAGCTCGGCTTGTCGGCCCTTCTGCTCTGCACCCTGCGGACGAGCGACTGTTCGACTTTGACGGCTGATGCTGCATGGACATAAAGATCCTTGGCTCTTAACCAATACCTAGAAGAAAGAGTCACACGCAGTGTCAGACACACGGCATGCAGTCCAAGGTCACTGGATGTCCGGACACCCCCCGTGCTACCACGCGCATGTCACCCTGTCGTTCAAGAACTTCGATGGGTCAATGCGGGGCAGGCTACGGGGCCTGCCAGGATGGCGTCCGCAGGCCAGTCAGGACATCCTTGTATCGCCGTCTCCAGTTCAAAGCGGCCGCCAAAGACTTCACCGCCGACTCCTGTTGTCTAGCTGCGGATCTCAGGAAGTCATTGCTTATTTGCCGGAAGACATCAGGTGCATATCTGCAGCAGTCCTTGGAGGAAGCACCCAAGAACGTGCGGAGTACCTGCGACACAAACATGGACGACATGCTCTTGGGAGGCAGAAGTGCAGAATGTCTTGGCCTCGTCTGTGCACCAGCCCCGAAGCCACTCATCCAGACCTCCGTCAACGAGGTGCTCCGCCTCCTGCCGGGGTTCGAGGTGTGGCAACTGCTCCTTCAGCATTGACTGCCAGTTCGGATACAGATAACCCCTTCCTCAGCATGGAGATCATCACTTGTGATTGCTTTCAGCCGGCGAACATTGGAAAGCTCCGAAGATGAAATTCGCGGAACCGGTAGTGGAAAGTTGCGAACAGATCAAAGCATCCTGCAGCAACATCACCATCTTCTTTGGTCCAGTTTGTCCTGATCGAGCTCATAAACAGCATGCATGGTGGTGACTGCGCTCGCCACTCTGCCACTAGAATCTCTCGGCCAGATATCCAACTAGACTGTTGCATGCACGTGCTTCTAGAGTTTGCCCACAACTACTACATCCTACAGTACCAGACTGTATGATGACCTCCCGGTCACCGGTCCAACCCCTTTTGGTTTCTGGACGACAAGCTTTCAAGCAGCCTGCAGGATCCTTACCATTGCGCAGATCCGCCTCAGTAAGACAGATTCGCAAGCCAGAACTCTGGCCGCAACAGATCAAACCTCTGTACTGTGATCTACATAGACTATGCAACACTGCAAAAACTCGACGATGAGACTCACACTGCAGCGGCTGTGGCCACAATGGCCCTGCGAGGGGCATCCAACAGTCTCGGCACGTCCTGGCGTTTGCTGATCCGCAGCATGTCATGTAAGGACGCGCCCCAGTTTACAGCCTCAGGTCTGCTCTCATCTCTACTCGAAGCTCCTTCTTAGTTTCTTATCAATACGGGAATCCTCGGCTGCGACACAGGTCGACTGAGGATCACCGTCAGACCTGCGGAGCGACATGTCCAAATACATCACTCCAACATCATGGCATTACGTCTTTGGCATCCCTGTCCAGAGTTTTGAAACATTGTCGATCCCACGAAAAAAGCAACGAGCCATGCGGGTCGCTTGCTCTTGCTCGCTCTTATTCTTCTCCCGGCTTCGGAGGCTTGTGTTGCCACCCTGGCCTTTGAGGACTATGTTTTCCTTCCAAGGGCTTGAGTAGCTTCTCTCGTGCTCCCACTCTCTCTCATAGTTCTTTCGCCAGGGCCCGATGCTGATGCTGAAGTAACCGCGGGGTGCTCCCGGGCGTTGTGCTTGTCTGTGTGAACTAGCTCAGCAGTATGATTCAATCCACATGACCATCGGAGGCAACACCCTCTTGCTTGCCAAGACTTCTTCGACACAGCCAGAGGCGGTCTGCGAGCGCCCTCACGCGTATTCGCGAACTGGGGAATTATTGCGCAGTTTGACGCAGTTGGTCAATACGAGCTAGGTCACTGGTCCCCCCAACACAAAAACAGAACACTGAACCCCGACCTTTCTCGCAGGCTAAGGTGCAAACCGCCCTAAGACGGGGAGCGTGACTCTGTCTCCTAGCCTGAGGAGTAGACTAGACTATGGCACGAAGATGACATTCGGGTACCACGATTACTAGCAAGCCTCTCCTTCTTTCGTGAAGGCTATGTTATAGGGGTTTTACGCTCCATACCGGGCCCTGAAAGGACCCTGGCCCGAGGGCCTACCCCCACAACGGCAGGGCTCTCCCTCTCTCTCTCTCTCTCTTTTTCCTTTCTGCTGGGCATAAGGGTCGCGGTGCGACCCGCAGTCTCTCTCTCTCTCTCTCTACCGGGTGTGGGGGCAGAGCAGCGTCCAGGCTCAAGCCCCCGTGCGAGTTCGCACACCCGCGTTTCACGGGGTTTCACAGTCCCCCGAGAAGGTTCTTCCTTTTCGGGGCTCGGCTGTACAAGGAGTGAGAGGTGTGTGAGGCTTCCCCCGTATGGCAACAAAGAGGCGATACTCGAACACGATGTAAGCTTAGCAGTTCCATGGTGGATAGTGGAAGAGCCTCCCCCCCTTTTTTGGCACTCGCTCTCTTCACAAAGCACTCTGTTGTTTGTACTGGAGACTGAGGCCCGGGCCAACGTGAAGCTGCAAGGTCAGGGCTGAAGAACAACAGAAAACACGGTTACTTCTAGGAAACATCCCCCTGTTCAGCTTGAGTTGGCTTTATGTATACTACTCGGAAGGCATGTCCCGCCTGAGTGTCTCGAAGTGGGAGTGAAAGGTAGTTGTAACTATGCTAAGGCAGAGTCTCCCCCTTCAAGCTCTCAGTAGGGTCCATGTTTTCCGTAGAAGGCTGCTTGTAACCGTCGTCGACGGTGGCTGCCGCCGTCGTCGTCGTCTTGACGTGGACTACGGCTACGCCCTCTCTCTCTCTCTCTCTCTTTGCTTTGCTTCGCTTTGCTAAGGGGCAAGAGCTGCAAGCAGTCCCTGGCGCAACCCCATCCAACACTTTGTTAGGATGGGCTCTGCTGTATAGAGAGGAAAGAGCAAAGTGCCACCGCGTGCAGGTTGGTATGCTAGCAGAAGTGGGTGCCCCAGTTCATGACGGATTTGTACCCCGACAGAAGACACCAGAAGGGAAAAGCTTGCGACCTTCAGCCTCACCCCCAACTTGTTCCACAAACTTGGGTGCCACTTCTATCGCTTCGGCAAATTACGGCAAGCGAGTGCCCCTCTGTGACATTACTTTGTGCAACTGTGCTGGCCCTTGTCAGGGGCCATGTGTTTGCCAGCATCAGTGTGGAACAGAGTGTGCAAGAGGGGAAAACCATGCCTGAATTACCGGCCTCGCATGCTGCTGGGACATTTGAGCGAGTGCAGGATCTTGGTTTCCTGGTGCTATTGCAGAAATGTAGGAACATGTACTGGTCCAAAACTTGTAGCCACGCGTGCCCTGCCATATAGTCGGTGCCCACTTTTGCCATTGTCGTTGTTCTCTCTCTGTCGCGCTCGTTCTCTGTTTCGCCGTTTTTTCTTGAGCCAGGGACCGTCTGCGCCTGTTCCCTCTCCCTCTCTGGTGCGATGGTGTGCTTGCTCGTGCACGGGCGACGTTGAATTCGTTGTTGCGTGGAAACCGTGAAAAGGCTCGGAATGCAAGCCATCCGCTTGCAGAGGAGCAGAGTTGGAGAAGTCAAAGCCTACAGTAGGTCCTAGGGAAGTCAAGAGTCAAAGAGCAATCAATGCCAAGCGGCAGGACTGATTGATTATTCGTAGTGCTCGGCTGGACAGCTGCTGCATCCTGCCAGCTCATCTAGTAAGCACGGGCAGAGCTGAGCTGTGCGCCTCTCGTCTTGGGATGTGCTCCTCGTCGCGAGGCGTCTCGGCTATGCAGCCTGGCAATGCATGTTCACACTACGTCTCTGGCCGTGACGAACCTCTCAGGTCGGGGCAGGTCTGGCCCATGGCAGCACCAGAAGTTTAGCGTATTGACATAAGCTACAACGAAACCGTTCACCGTGATCCCCTACCAGTTTCAGGATCCAAGTGGCCGTTCAACTGACGAGAAATTGCTGAACAGGCGCCATAGTAGCTGACGCGGGCTGGCTGGCTTCTGACAGGCTTCAGCCCGGCCATGTGCGATTGCAATCATCACTTTTGCACAGCTAGCAGCTGCGAGGGCAGATCATCCAGCAGACACTCTGCTGAGATCTCCCTTCCACCCGATTCGGGTTTCTATGTCGTAGGACAATGTAGGACAAGAAAGTTCACTCATCTCTCCCTGACTTTAAAGAAGAGGTGCTGGACAACTCATGGCACGAATTATGCCGAGTAGCTGCCATCTCGAGATTAAAACTTGAAACTAAATCCCCACCTTAGCAAAAAGGACTAAGCGCACACACTGAGCGTGCAGTTTGCGTCTTGTGCCCGAAGAGCTTGGAAGTCTTGCCATAACGTCGTAGGGTATGGTGTGGTCAACTCTGGCGATGCCCAGACCTGTCAAAGGCTGATGGCGCAGACTACCCTCCCCGGCCCTGCTGGCGGGGCCCTGCTGGCCTTGGGTCCCTTCAAAGCCTTCAATCCCGGCATCCTTGCATGAGGCTGACGCAACTTGGAGCAGGCAGTATGCCTGGTGTCACCTTACAGGCACGAGTCACAGCTCCCGCATGCTCCGGAACCAAAGCTTCGACGGCTCAATAGCACAGATCAAGCTAAGGTACTGCCCCTAGCCTGCTTTCTTCGTGCCTCCTGGTGCCTGGAAGCTACACCGTTGATAGGTTCCTGCTTCAGAGACCGCTGCTTCAACGGTGATCTAGTTTCAGACTGCTACCATCACAGCTACTCCGTTTGACGTGTCCTGGCGGCAGACTCGTAGAGCTGCCTGGTTGGCCAGAGCCAGGCCCCTCTGCGTGGCTTCATGAACAGATCCAGCCACCAGGCCTCCTGCCAGTTTCAATTGGCATCCCAGATCACGAAGCCCTATATTGCCTCGCTTTAAGTCTTCGAACGAGTGCACATAGGCAAAAGCTTGAGTAAGGACGGTCCTTGGTTGAACGGGTGAAGGTTGACGGCTCTTTGACGCTGCTCGCGAAGGCTAGGAAGCCTCCACAGTGCGCGGCAAGGACGCAGCAACAACAGCAACAGGAACAACAGCAGTATCAACAACAACACCAGCCTCAGCAGCGGCAACAGGAGAAGCAGTGGCAACAGTGGCAACAGCGACAAAGGCGACAAGAAGGCATGCGGTGCCAAATGGCACAAAGCAGAGGGTGTGACGCTTTTCTGGACTTGCAAACGCATCAGGATGGTGCGTTATTCTCTCGTATTCAGGCCCCTATTTGCGGCACGGTGTTTCCAAGTTTGTGTGGAACATGTTCAGGACGATGTCTGTAGCAAATGCCCTGGGTTCCTTTTTTTGGTTTGCTTGCGGCTCCTCATTCCAGAAAACTTCCCGACGCTAGTTGGATTATTGTTGGTTTGCCGTTCGTGTGTCATTGGGTGCCAAACATGAAAAATTGCGTTCTGCTCCTTAACACAGGGCATGAGGAAATAACAGAAGCTTCTCCAACCCTTCGACAAAGCAGCCAACGAGATGTGTTCCGCACTACCGATGCAACAAAAAAGGCTACTGACACCTCGCGACCAAGTTGAGTGCAAACCTTCACTTCCAAAACGTGGACATGGCCTTTAAGGCTTTAAGGGGTTCCTCCCCATCCTCCCCAGCACAGGCGAAGGAGATCGAAGGACTCCTCTGAGTCGGAAGCACCGCTTTCTCCGACCGATCAGCAGGTTGCGGCGTCAGAGGTATTGGAACTGTAACCATCGGCCGGAGTTTACCAGAGCTTCGAGGCGACAAAACTGCTCGCAGAAAACAACGCAGAGATGGAGGCCATTTGAGGCCCGAGGCTGATATATCTTCCGCCTGCGCTTCGACGCTTGCTCGGTTTGTGGGCGCGGAAGCTTGGCCGTGAGAATCATGGACTCCTGGCTCTGCAGGAATCTCTGCACTTCTGGAGGAAGCCTCCCAAGTGTGAAGTCCTGGGTTTGAGGTCGCCGTGGCATCCGTGGCGTGGACTCGGGTCTGGCTGCGAGTTCCAGGGACGGTAGCGGTGGCGATCTGGAGTCCTCAAACGCAGAAAGACCAGAACTCTCGCTGGCCTCATCTCGACAGCTCCTGAATCTTCAACGTGGCAACAAGCTCGCCTGCCACTCTTGCCAGGCTCAGGATTGAATCTCCCAACTTCCTAACACTTGCTGCGCATGCAGTGCGCATCTTGCCGGCCCACCTGAGTCTGCCGCTTCTGCAAGCTTCGGGGACCAGATGTCTAGGAGCAAAGAGAGTCCTCAATGCAGCAAGGAGAGAGTCCCGCTCCAGGTCCAAATGTGCCATGGCGACGCGGCGACGATTATCACAAGACACCAGCCACGTCTCTTCGCACTTGCTCAGCCTTGCTGTCTGCTGGACATTCACTTCCTTGCCATCTCCACAGGTCAAGTGCACCGAAAGCAAGTCTGGCTCCGTCACTAGGCAAAACCGCATTGCAGCCAAGCGCACTTGGCGGCGCAGCTTGCACTTGCTCACTTTCACATGGATCCAGGACTCGAATCGAATGACTGGCCTGCAGTGCCATACGGCTCAAAAATGGACGTGCGCGCCGACACATCAGGCAAATATGTAGCTTATTTTGAACGTAGGAGTGCAGCAGCACATACATGGGGAGCCGAGCTTTTGGCGCAGGCAAACATGGAGTGGTTGCATCGAAATACGATGATGACAACTGGAAATCTCTGGTATATGACAAGCCTGCGGCCGAGGCCCTTACAATAGGCGTACATTCTGCGGCTTCGGCAAGAAGCAATACGATAAGCGAGCGCATCCCGAGCGTCACAACAGTTGCATGTCACACCACTCTGCACCAACCCTCTGAAGCACCCTTTGCAACAAGGGGGCGGGGCATGTAAAGAAGATGACCTGCAGCTGCGATGTGAGTTGATTGCTTCTTGTATCGGCCTCGTGAATGTCGGAGTCAAGGCTTTCTGCACTGCTCCGCCTTCGTGAACTTGCGTCATCCTCTAGCATGGCCCAATCGGGCTCGTTGCTTCCGCTACTGGACGAGGAAGTTGATGAGCTGGAACCTCAAGCGGGGCCACTGAAGGCGCGTAAGACACCTGCACTGAGACACACACACACACACACACACACACTTAGACATTCATCGCGCAGCCACTAATCAATCTGGTTATCAAGCACAGCTTGATGTATCTCGAAAGCATGAAGCTTCCAGGGGGTCCGGTACCTATCTGGCCTCAAGGCTCATCTTCACTTGATCTCTGACTTTTCCACTGTACAAAAAATCTCCCAGACATGCACATGAAACTGCACTGCACTCCTACTCGCAATCAACAGTTGTGTGGTCACAAGCTGCACGAAAGTGCCCATGCCGACCACTGCAGGTACGTTTACCTGTCTCAATATCACGGAGCTTCGTTGGCAGAGGCCGTGAAATGAGACCCTCTGCCCCCTGCAATTTTCTGTAATTCAGCACAACTGTCCAACGTGTTTCAAAAACGGTTCCTCTTGGTAACAGAGGTCCACACACACAGTAAGCCACTAAGGCGAAACGACCTAGGGTCTGGACTCCAAACGAGGACGGTTTTCGTCCGAATATGGCTCAGCCCAGTGAAAGGTCAATGGTACTGTGTTGTTGACAGTACTGAGTTTGACGTAGTATGGTAAATGAGTCCCGCTTTGCGTGAGTTTAAACGCACGCTTGGGGATGCGACTCCACTCCAAACTGATAGCCTCTTTAAGGTCGTCGATAATGCCTTCGGCCGGAATGTCGAAACATGCAACGGCGGCACCATGGTGGCGGCCGTCAGAAGGCAAATTTTCAATCCAAAATCCTCGGGTCATCCGCAGCGGAGGCAGATGTTTCGGTGTCCGAGGGAGAATAAGTGGATCATCATTTTTACCGCCATCGGGTGGAAGCGATGCTTGTGCTGCATCTCGTTTCATGGCGGATAAAGCTACACATACACTGGGTCGCTGATGAGTGGGAGCAGGAAAACTGTACAGGCAAATGCTCTCACTGTATGCAGGACAGAAAAAATGTAAGTCAGGTCACAAGGTCATGCCAAGAATCACTGGTAGTTTTTCCCAGCAAGTGACATGTAATCCTGTACACGTCCGGTGTCCAAATCAAAATAAGAATCAAACGTTTCGGTTGGGACACTGTGCAACATACCAAAAATGGCAAGCACAACGGAGGTTGGCTCTGACCAGCATTTTGCACAAGCCTTCGACCGTGCTGCAGGATTTCGGTGAAACTGCATCGGATCCCCAAGTGTGATATCACTCGCTTCAGAGGGAACGGGCGAACGCTCAGGTTTGTCCTTCTTGGACTTCATGGACTTCTGAGACTTGTTTGGTGACCGGTCCTTTTTCAGCCTTTTGGACTTCTTGGACTTCTTGGTCTTCTTGCACTTGCTGGAGGACTTCTTAACCCAAGACGCCACCTCTGTGGGTGCCGAGTCTTTGGGAGGATCAAAAGCCGAAGACCAGGAGCTAGCATCATCAGGAAGTTCATCATATGGTACCCCGTGGTCTTGACGGGAAGCCATGCCGGTGGGTCGAGTAATCAAGACGGAAACGGCTGGCGGCACCACATGAGTAAAAAAGGAAAACACGCCTTCGGCTCAACGAGAGACAGAGATAAGGGGAGAGAGAAAAGGCGAAAAAGACATAAAACTGAGCGTCACGCTCATACGCGTTGTTTTGCAATGCGCAAAGACGGTTCCACTTTAGTGGTGCAGGCGCTCTAATCCGGTAATGATGAAAGTCCCAAAAATGTCAATTGGGAAAACGAATTAAGCAGACGAGTCGTCTGCTGTTCCAGCATGACAAAAGCTCTCACGGTGATGCATCTCGCTTGCGTTTTCGGGGTGACAAAGAATTGGCGCTCTCAGTAGGGAGGTTCAAGTCCACCGAAGAAGTGGTCTGAGAAGCTTGGTGCCACTGATTGTCAGCAGCCAAACGGTCCGAAATCCAGCGAGAAGTGGCGGGAAACCAAGATTTCCACCACGTTTCATTGCCACTGGGTCCTTGAATTTTGACCCAATAAAATCGCCACGAAACAGTCGGAGAACGCGATCGGGATCGATCCGACATGGCGTGTACCGCTGAAAGCCGAACGCTGGAACTGAACAGAGCGATTTAAAAAAACCTAAGCGAACACATTGCATGCAAGACTCTTCTGCATATACATTCTGTATTGCAACAGTCTTTTTTCATGCATGACAGACTCCATGAATCTTAAGCCTCTCTCTGTACATCGGATACCGGTAAAGCTTCGGTGCTTCGTACAGAGTACTCCAAGCCCGGCCAGCTGACTCCCCAATCCTGTCCTTCCCCCGTTTCAAAAGTAATCGGCCGGGGATTGTTGGGGGTGGACATCGGCAACGTAATGGAGTGGGTGCTTGACAAAATCCAAATTTTGTCGATGCGCCCTGCGGCTTCACGTACCGCCCAGCGCTTATCTCCTGAAGGGGAGTGTACAAGCGGGTGGAACTTGCACAAGTGTCCTTCATGTACAGTACTGGAGGATTTGGATTTGTGATGCGCAGATCCAAGATATCCTCCAACGACCACTCCTGCGGAATTCTTCGTGGAGTGGTGCAGTTTTGACACGAAGTCTAACTTGCTCTCTTCATAGTACACGTTTTGTGTGGCTTTGCCATAAAAGGAGCACACATGATCGTGCGGCGCCACATGTACAGCTTCGGCGCTAGAGCGAATGACCCTGCCCAACGTGAGGATGCCGACCAGGCCTTCGGCCGTGGTCCCGTGTCCCCAAAGATAATAGCAGTTGGTCTGCTCTTCAGGTCCTGGCATATGTGCCACTGGAAACTCCCAAACATGCAATGCTTCTTGGGGCATGGCATACGCCATACGCCTTGGCATCATGCTGAAAAATTGCCTTATATGGTATCTTGCTGGCCAAAATGGACCGGGCAAGAGTGACAATCTCCCGTTGGCCAATAGGAATCACAGGCAGAAAAGGTCGGTCTGCCTGGCCAAATCGGGTCAACAAAAATTTCAGCACATCCTCAACATCCTCTTTGAGGATTTTGGAAACTGGCAATGAACGTTGCCGAGTAAAAGTGATGCGATCAGTGAATCTTCGCATATGAGAATGTGGGATAATAGGCCACGTATGCAAGCCTTCAGTTGTGAGAAAATTCTCATGATAATGCAAAACAAAGAACATATACGCCAAGAGAGAACTCATTCCCTCCTCATAGAAATCGACAGCATTGCGGCCTTTGGCTCGAGCTGTGATTTGCTCTCGCAGTTGTTCATAGCTGCTGCGATGAGCAGCATGAAATAGCTGTTCCTCATCAACAGAAATCAAACCGGATTGAGCAGGAGGAACTGGGCTCTTTGGAGCCGGATTCTTGGGAGGTGTCTTGGGCGACGTGTTCTTGTGAAACTCCGGTGAGACAGCTGCCGCGACAGGCTCCTTGTTCTCCAAAATCGGGCCTGTCTCCGGTTTGCTTTGTGCATTGCCGGGAGCTCTAAAAGCTTGAGCAGCTTGATGTAATGCATCAGTAGCTGCTTGAGAATGCGAAGCAGGAGCTTGAACTCTGGGTGTTACTGGCCTTTGGCTCAGATTCCCAGCAGGAACACTAGGTACCCATTGCCCCGGCGGTCGCTGTGGACTGTTGCTGGGCCCTTTGTTTTCATGAGGCCGAGAACGGACAGAAGCCGGCTCAATAGATCTCGGTCTAGGCCGGGGTGGCATGTTTTCTAAGCTGGCCGAACGAAAAGGTGGGCGCATCGGAGGAACAGCACTGACCGACCTTGTTGGTGGTCGAGTAGGAGGCTGAGGGGGAGGCAGAACTGGTCGAACTGGGGCCGCGGGAGGTCCCTCAGGGTGACGTTCATGCCGATGATGTCGACGCCGTCGTCGTCTCGAGCGACTGCGATCATGACGCTCACGGCTGGGGTGAGTAGACTTGGCCGGCTCCCCCGGTGTGAGTTGAATTGGAAGCGGAGCTCGAGGTGGTGGGTGTACCGAAACCGACCGAGCTCTGCTAGCTTCCTGAGGAGTCGAAAGAATTGTAACCGGAGGTTGCGGTCCGCTTGAAGTCTGCACTCCAGGGGGTCCTCCGTAGAAGTGAAAATGGTATTGCTGGGCCATGGCTCTGGGTTGAAATATTCCTCCAACAGGCCGATATCCAGCTGAAAACCAATGCAGCTATGGTACTGAATCAGTAGCTCACGTGCACAATTAGGGACAAAAACATTGCAAAGAGGCAGCGAAACTCTCAATCGACAGACTTATTTGCTGACTTCATTGCAACACATTCACAGGAAAACCTGCCTGTACATACAGTTGCTTGAGTCTGCGAAGTTGTCCCGGTCTTGACTCGGGGGGCCAGGAGTACTGGCGAATCAAAGATGCTCGAGAAAAGTATCCCGAGGCTGCCAGCTGCCACGATCCAGCGCTGTTGGGCGAGCGGATCTGCCATGGTTGCTCCGGGAGATTAAAAGTTGCTGAGCGAGTCTTGGCGCAAATGGTAAAACCCAACCATTGATGGTCTGACACAGTTTCCAACTGAATCCCATCATAAAAGTTAGGATCGCAGAATCTCCGGAGTTGGGACGACAGTAGAATTTTCTGAGGTCCCAGAATCAGTCTGTTATCGACGTACCGGAGAAACAAGAAAGACGATTGGATGGCCGTCGGCAAAGATTGCAAAAACTGCCGCTCGGCCAGGAGTACAGGAAGTCCGGAGAGGATCGGCGATATTTGATTGCCTATACACGTCCCCTCCACTTGCTGCCTGCACTTTCCAGCAGCTGTAAAAACTCCCGTGGCGAAGGATAGATCCACAATCAGCGGAACATCAGAAACCCAACACCTCTTTAAGTTTGATTTCGTTCTCCCCCGAGGTTTGCCCGGGTGTCCCGTTTTTGACAACATATCGATCGAGAGGATCGAACAGCCAGAAGTTTGGCAGTATTCTTGGACAATCAAATGCACTGCGTGCATGATGTCTTTTCGGGGAACTGCATTGAAAAATCCCACGAGATCGTCGTTCCATTCGACGTCTTCCTCTTGGCTGGGCTTCGCCCAATAAGCATGAAGAGACCTCCAGAGCTGTGGCATGCTCTGCATGCCTGGGCTGTCAGCAAACAGCGTCTTGACCATTAAGGTTAACGCAATGGAGGTCAGCTCCAATAGCTTGCTGCACAACGAATTGGAATACGAAATGATGGTCCGTCCCTTGGCAAACTGTTTCTTCCGTTTCAGGAACACAGTGCCTTGAGGCAGCGGAGCTGTTTCTTTGAAGGCCCAGGCGTATCTTCTGGACAGATCTCGAGGAACGCGCTCCAAAATGCGCTGTCTCCATTCTTCAGGGGTACCATCAAGAGTACGAAACACAGAGGGATCGTTCCATGTGGTGCTAACTCCTCGAAGGAAGAAGCGAGGACAATAGCACACGACATGATTCGGATGATGATCTTCGTTGTACAGAACAAAATCTGAGTGCAAGGCAGACTTCACCTTCTGTACCAAAGCCCAGTGTAGTCTGTCTGATTGTTCCAGGGCTGCAACATGTTGCTGCCACTGGTGGTCACAAAAGGATTGAAAAATTGGATGCAACGTCGCTGGTAGCTTGTGTCTCTTGAGCCACTGATCAAACAGAGCTCTGGACTTGGCCATCCAGTGATTGCGGCCTGGGAAAAAGGTGCTCGCGGCACTGGCCGATAAGATGCTCGAACAGCCTGGTAGTAGCTTGGTCAGGTTCTCCAAACCTGTGGCTACGTGGCCAGACACGAAGCAATGAGCAGGAAGTTTTCCTGCAAACTGCTCACACGGACAGTGCACCGACTCCAAATCAAAGTCGTGCTCCCACATCGTTTCTTCCCAAGATCGGAAGTTGTGGAGAAATTTCTTGATACTCTGGTGCGGAACTTCACGTAGGCTGTTCTTTGGAACATGAAAAGATGGAAAAAGATACTTGTACCGGAGGATGAGGTCTTTTAACCACTTCTCGCACTCCTTGGAAAACGAAGGAGACGCAGTTGGCAGGACTCCCAAAGGTCGGGAAGTCCGTGGCCAGTGCATCTTCTTGCGAAACTTGGCTACACCTTTGAGTATTCCTTGCACCCTGTTGCGATGAGGGTTTTCGATATTGCGACTGAGTTTGATGAGGGCATACACTTCCTCGTCAGCCGTCTTGTTGGATCGGAGCAGCTTCGCTGTTTCAAAGGATGCTCGGGTTCTCGATGCCAGCTTAAACAGAAGCCCCCAGGCTAACTCCCGAGAGTCATGAATGAAGAATTTCGAACTGCGACCAAACATGCGCTTTCGCAGATTGCGCCAAAGTCGGAGGCCAAAGGTGCAATACAATGACCCTCTGCGTTTGGACGAAATTCGGAAACCGAGAGCGGTCTTCTTAATGAGAGACATTGCTCTGGGATAATTCAAAGGTGCCTGCCATTGAGCAATGAGTTCGTGCTCAACAGTCCAAGCTCGCTGGTAGCTGTCACAAAATTCCAGCGGAACAAGCACAAACTGGAAAAGGTTGTGTTGGGATGCCCAATATCTCAGGGACAATTCTGCATCCACAAATTCGGTTCTTTGAAGTCTTCTGTAGACTGCCATGCGGTTCAAATGCCGCTTGGCTGCACCGACAGCAGTGCTTCCCACATACAGAAGTGATGAGGGCTGACGGTAGCCCGAACGAAATCGACCCATGTCGAAATCAACTTGAAAAATGCAATATACAGTGTTCGGCTTCTCAAACAGAGAATAATGCAGAGTATCTGGATCCACTCCGAACTGCTGCAATCTCCGAACAATCTTGAATCTGTGTGAATCCTCCTGGCTGGGTGCATTGAGGTAAAACAACAACACCAACGACATCAATGTATGCACCCAAATCAGCGGAGTCTTGGGTATTCCATCGCCAAACTCCAACATGAAAGCTGCTGCTGTACCAAGCGTGCACACTGCTGAAGCAAGCCTCTTACGGACCTGAATCGGCTGATGTTGCACCGTTTTTGCTTGGGTAGCTAGTCAAGCTGATTCAAACTGACATGCACCAATGAACGAAGACAAATTGGTGAATGACATCTTGCTGGCATGGCTTTTCTTCAAGCCGTACTTGATAGCGAGATCTGCCAGGCTTTGCCGATCAGTGGCTGAATCTTTCAGCACAGAGCAAACATCAGCCACATGTTTCTTAAAAGCTGCAGCTTGACCACGAAACTGGCTCTGATGCTTCTTGAGCCATTTTTCAACAACATCAGGGGAGCTGGAACTCGGAACAGAGTTCGGCGGATTCGGGAGTTCCGCATTCAAAATCTGCTCAGCTGACGGTGAAGGTGAAGCGGTGGGCTTTGGGCCAGTTTTGGCCTGCTTCTTCTCTGGAGTAAGAGCAATCCCAGCTTCCTTCAACTTTCGCTTCGCACGAGCAAGCTGTTCACTCTCAGGCGATTGCTGGCTTGAATCCGCCGGGGGAGGCGAATTGGCTTTGATTGTTGAAACAATTTCGCCAAGCAATGGTTGCATAAATCTCGCAGACTCCCTGTGCTTGTCAGGCGGAGCTGGGCCGTGCATATTTGCTGCCACGGCATCAAGATCAATCCGGTCTTGCCGAATGTGACGAAGCAGGTTAGTCACAAACACCGCTTCTGAAATCGACCTCACGAATACTAAGCTCTGAAATTCTCCATTGGACAAACAGCGGAGACTGAAGTCATCAAGACCTTTTCTCGTCAGGTCTGAGACACGAAGATCGGCGACATCTTTTCCAGCCAGTCCAGCTTTCGTAGACCAGGGCGTGGATTGGATGTTACGAAAGAACTTCTTGCCAGAAATAGCATTCTTGTCGTAACACTCCCAGTCACTGGTAAAAGACGATGGGATGGCAACATTGGTGCTGGGAACAGACTGTTGAGGGGATTTTTTGCCAGTCACGGTTGTTCCAACCCGACGATCCTTTCTTCTCCCAAGACGAACTAGCCCAGGACGACTTGGCCCAATCTTGTTCACGGGTCCACGACATGATCGCAAAAGATTGCTACAGGCTTGTGTCTCGGAGCTGAAATCGTGGTCTGCGGATAGAAAAGCCGTTGGTTCCATCGGATCTGCAAAAATTCAGGACCTGCAATGAAACCTGGCATCAAACCTGACATTAAGTCAGGAGCAGAGAAAACATCGCGACTGAAGTAATCAGATGTCTGCACCATCGGAGCAGCAAATTCAGTCGGACCTGTGAGGACCACGACGGGCCCAAAACAATGTATCCCTGCCTTTATCAGATCCACCCTGGCAGGTACTCGCACGGGCTAACCCCGCCGCAGGTACCGCGGTAAACGAATACAAGACCAGCTTGTAACTACCTGGGACACACTTAGACATCCATCGCGCAGCCACTAATCAATCTGGTTATCAAGCACAGCTTGATGTATCTCGAAAGCATGAAGCTTCCAGGGGGTCCGGTACCTATCTGGCCTCAAGGCTCATCTTCACTTGATCTCTGACTTTTCCACTGTACAAGGCAAAATCTCCCAGACATGCACATGAAACTGCACTGCACTCCTACTCGCAATCAACAGTTGTGTGGTCACAAGCTGCACGAAAGTGCCCATGCCGACCACTGCAGGTACGTTTACCTGTCTCAATATCACGGAGCTTCGTTGGCAGAGGCCGTGAAATGAGACCCTCTGCCCCCTGCAATTTTCTGTAATTCAGCACAACTGTCCAACGTGTTTCAAAAACGGTTCCTCTTGGTAACAGAGGTCCACACACACACACACACTAAGACACCCTGTTGCAAAAAAACGTGCGACGGCCTTCGTTCTCCTTGTTACTGTCAGGATCAACTTGACCTTCACGTATGGACCTCAAGCTTGCAACACCTCAGCTGCGCCAGAACTGCCAGTATCCAACTGGTCAAGGTGGCTTTTCGGAGCATGCCGCATATCGGTCAAGCTGCTGGATTTCGAGGCTTGCCTCTCGTGCTGACGCACGAACAAGGCACCGTCGCCTTAGATCTGGTAGGAGCTACAAGGCTTAGAAGCTGAGGTGTGTGCGCTGCTTGTAAGTGGGAAGACACAGCATGTCATGAAGCCAACTACAAGAGCTTCGACATCAACACTTCAAGCCTCTGCTTCTAAACAACAGACGGGACCCGAAAGTCCCCGTGCTGGCCCGGCTTTGACTTTGTTGAAGCACAAGGACTGGGTCCTTGAGCCTTACCCAGGTTATCGAACATCTCCAGAAGCTACAGCCCAGACAGATTTCGAGCTTTTGCAACCAGCTCTGGAGGGGGCCTGCACTTAGATGTGGGTCAACTTTGAGCGGGGATCCCTCGCTTCAGACATGTCGGCCATCACAAACAATCCCTGACAGCGGATGCTGAGGGAGCTGCTCATTCGACGGCCCCGATGTGGCAAGCCATGGACTGCTTTGCTGGTCAAACCAGTCAGACCAGTCATGGCAGACATCGCCATGGTGTATGCATGTGGCCGCGTTGGCGCAATATTTGACAATCGCCTTGCCAGCTTCATGCCTGGAGAGGGAAGCAGGCGGCTGCGGCAGCGACAAGAAGGAGGTGACTTGCATCTCGGAGCCTGAGAAAGCCCGCGTCCATGCATTCTGAGGTCTGCATCCCTCCGAAGTCGCCGAAGCAATCGAAGCAGCAGATGACCGTCCTTGTCGGCTGGTATATGCAAACCGGAAGCCGGAAGCCAAGGCTCTCGCACCAGATTTCAAGAAAGCGTCTCGTGTCCATTCGCCACCACTCCTTTCGCACTCCACATGCAACGGGGGAACATGGTGAACAGCTTTGCGTCTAACAAGCCTGAAGTCACGCCTCACAAGTTAAGTTATACCGGCAATCGTTGTTTGCAACACCTCCTGGCTGCTCTTGCGTTGATGCAGGAATGAAGAAATGTACGAATTGCTGCAGAAGCACCTTCCTTGCCGGGAGCTCCCCCTTCTCGCGGAGCTCTTCCATGTGGCGCTCGACCTTCTCGTGAATCCGCTTCGCCTGGACAAGGACGTGGGCTAGTGGCCAAGATGCCACGAATCTAGGGGGTGGAAAACAACATCGTCATATACTTTCTGCAGTTGCAACTGCAAATTGCCAACCTTGGGAAATGTCATGCTTACACAGACAACGAAGAGACTGAGTGCAAATCGCTACATTTCGGCACAGGGAAAGACATAGAGGAACATCATGAGCATCGTGTTTGATCCCCTGCCTTTGCATATCTTTGCATTGCTTGCATGTTGGCATGATCTACCTGCAAGCAGAATTCCCAAAGCGGCCCAGGTACATCTTCTTTGAAGTGGTTCAAGACCTGCTCATGGTCTGAGATGGGTTGCAGATGCGCGCCCTAGCGGCCGAGCCTGCAGCAAGTCGTCTCTTTGAAGAACCTTGACATCGCAGAGAGCCGTCGCCCTCACCGTCGCTGATCGCGTCGTCAACTTGGCGCAGACGATGCCAATCGTTGTAAGGGTACAATCACAACGTACACAAGGCTAGGCCCACCACAGCCGGATGCTTGCTGGCAGCCGCCATTTCTCCGAAGACTGCACCATCCTCCAAGGTATGTCAATGTCAACCAAACCTTGAAACCGGCAAAGTCAATTTGAATCCCTGTGTGCTGCCTTGTGTATGGATTGAACCTCCTCGCCGCGCAGGACTTCCACCTCGCCCCTGCAGAGATAGAACAAGCTATCGCCTCTCAGGGTGCCCCAGCTCCGTCATGTGCACACGCAAGCCTCTGCTCCGTTACAGTTACTGAGTTTCAGAAGGTTGATCTATTAGCTGTGGTAGGATAACAGCAATGACAATTGATGCGAGTGGTTACGACATGTGTGTCTGACAGGGGCACCTCGTTCGCCTTCAAGGTAGATGTCCGTTCCGGGCTGCACCAGGCGGGTGTGGACTTGGTCGGACAAGGCCTTGCAGCAACAACCCCGCTGACCGGCAATCACGTCACAACAGCTTGAGGCATTTTTGCACGATGAACTTTGCGCTCGCCTTAAGGAACCTCTCCGTGCAATCCCTGAAGAGTGGCACGTCGGATAGAAGGTCTTTGCCTGGACCGTCGAAGACCTGAGCGTTCAAAGCCCTCGATAGCACTTTCAGACTGAAAGGCTCTCAAAACAAACGCCGGATTCAGCCAAAGGCACAGCTGATGCAGTTGTCCTAAAGCTACGTCGCGGTGTCGCATCTGCAGAATCTCCCAGCGACAACGACCTTGTCTGCGCGATTTGTATTGAAGTTGGCTCGTGGTGAAATCCGGTCGCCGGGGAGTCGGACAGCTTGTTCGGAAGGAACTGCCCTAGAGGCTCTGCCGCGGGCTCGGACTCCTCCCAATTCTCTGCGTCTAAGCAGACTCACCCGCATCCCGCTGCATGAGAAGGCGCTCTTACCATGCATGGGTTCATGACTTCGCCGCTCTGTCCACTCAGAACAGCGAAAGGAGCCGTGAGAAGAAGCAGTTTCAGTCACGACAAGAATGAGGGAGTTGTCAGGGTATAAGCAAGATTCGAAGCACTGTACAACAACACGGTTCACGGTAAGACCCCAATGTGCCCGCCGCATCCCTACAGCCCCGAAGTTGTGATTGAATCAGTCCTCCAGGTCATTCGAGCTTGCTGCTCCCTTCCGCAGCGCCTTCCACTTCTGCTGGGCCTAGCTGAACCGACCAGTTGCAGGTGCCGTGATACCCTTTTTAGATCGTCCTTGCAGCGCCTCGTTGCCTCGGATCGCCGTTGACACAGTCTTGCGGAGGAAGCTGGGCCGCCGTTCCTCATTGCCTGAGAGCTCCACTTGTAGAATGCCAAGAGTTTCCATTAGGTGTGAACACGTCTTGCATTTCAGGAGCAAGACGAGTTGGCCATCAGCTCCACCTAAGTATGCGGATATTCCGGGATGCAAGTAGATGCCGGACGTCGAGTGGGAAGATGGGGCCTGAAGCGACAGCCTTCGAGCATATCGGCCGCTCTCTGCCATGGCACCACGGCCAAGCCAGCAAAAAACGGCGCTCGAGACTCTCGCTTTAGACAATTTCACGTTCATGTCGGGTGCTAGGTCGAACCGAGTTGCCCCGACGGGCCCTTCCCTGCGGCATACGTCCCTCTCTGCAAATGCTGATTGAGCCCTCTAGCAGACTCTGGCAAGGTCGAACCATGAGCCAATCGCGGAGTGTAGTGGTAAAGATGCTGTCGTTGACAGCACTCGATACATGACACAAATCTCCCGAAGCACTCGGATTCTCAATCCGCTGCAATTCACTGCGTGAGAACGCTGCCCGACCTGTTTTGGATGAAGCTGCATCGAATTTGCCATCTCACAGTGCCGCCGACCACCTGCATTGGCATAGTCATCACGGAACACCCTGCTTCTGGATACCTGCATCTTATTGTCTGACGGCCGGTACTACAAAACAAGATGCTGAAAATCAGAGAATTGCTTCCGTCGCAGACGATCCTTTTTTGCAACTCATTGGCCGCAGTGACAACTTGTCACATGACCGAAATACCTTTGTTCAAAGCGGTATCATCTGCTCTGCCCACAGACAGCACAGCAGTCACATGAATTTCATTGCGTCAGAGGCACCGCTGCAACAGAGTAGGAGCTTCCGCCCGTGCAGCTGCAAGGACAGCTGGCAGCGGTGAAGGAGGCGATGGCAAACCTGGATCCAATCGATCCGGCTGCAGGCACGAGTTGCAGGAATCAGGAATTCACGTGGGGTTTCGCACGCCCTCAGGCATCCCGTTTTTCGACTCTGCAGCTCTGAAGTCGGCAAAGCATTCTGGATCGAAGCTGAGCTTGGCACCTTCTTGCGCCAGACAACCCAACGGCCATAGCAGGGCGAGAACTCTTCGACCTCTTTCCTCAGGACTGCTCTCATGCCGACAGTCTGACAGCCTTATTCAAATCCGGTCTTGCATGGTCTTGCTACTTCTGCTGTTGATGTTGCTGTTGTTGCTGCTGTTGCTGTTGTTGCTGTTGCTGCTGCTGTTGTTACTGCTGTTGCTGCCGCTGTTGTTCAGAAAACAGGCCAAGGCTGGCCACTAGTTGATTTGACTGAAACGCTGCCGGATTAAAGCGTCCTGTCGGGACGCCTCTGATTTGTTGGGCGACCTGCTTGCCACCTAGCCACACGGCAGAAGCCCTCTCCTCCAGCGCAACTAAAACCAACAAGCTACAGCCGGCTAGGGAAAGAAGGCTGCCAACAGCAGTCCGCAGATTGGAACAGGTCCTGTGGCCAAGAAAATGGCGCCCTTCTCGGCATTCACGATTTGTGCAAGATCTCGATTCAAAGCGTCGAGGTCTATGCCTTCAAATCACTGAGTCACTGAGGGATCTCTGCCAACATTTTTTGTCACTCGTGCTCGACAAGTCAGACGAAAGCATATTCCGCGGGCAAAAGGCGGTAAGGCGGCTCCGAGATGTCCGTGTCTTTGCTGATGTTGAAAAAGCTGTGGCCTGACAGATGCCCAAGTGAAGCCACGGACGGAGTCTGAGTGCGACTTCGACATCATAAGAATCTTAAGAGTCTCAACCCTGGCGCATCCTCTTGCCTGTGAGGCGGAAGCGCACGCACGCGTCGGGCTGGTCCGTGCTTTCAAGCATCTCGAAGTCTGGCTGCAACTGCGAGAAAATCTCCTCCCAATGGGAAGGAAATGATACACGAAGCTCAGCTCCTGGTGGATTGGGGTGACCCGCATTTGAGACTTGTGAGCTTGGGCCTTGCCCTCACTTTGATGTGGGTAGTGTGAATATCGGGTACATTCTTTTCACGCGGCCACAAGGCGATGAAATTAAAGTCACAAGCCTGACCCCGGCCGACATCTGGAAAATATGTATTGAACAAGTATTCAGCTGAAGGTCAAAAGATCAAAAGACAGGCAAAGGTGAACGCTTCCTCCGTGGCCGCCATATCTGTCGGAGGCACCGTCAGATCGGACAATGCAAGCCGTGTGTCGACAAGGTCCCCTTCGGAAACGCCTCGGCCCAGTCCCAAATTCCCAAAACGACGCAACACCTTTCCGCATCCTAGTGCTAAGTGCTTGTTGTCAGCATGCTCCTTCGGCCGAGGAACCCTCCGCAAAGATCAGCACCTTCGGCAGCTGTCAACAGAAATGTGCCGCACATATGCACTTGTGTGTGTGGTGTGAGAGTGAGAGAGAGAGATAGCGAGAGAGAGAGAGACAGAGAGACAGAGAGAGACAGAGAGACAGACACAGAGAGAGAGAGGGACAGGGGAGAGAGAGCGGGAGAGAGAAATGAATCGTCAACGTCTCGAGAGACTCGTTCAGACTAATCGTTTGCCCCAATATTGAAAGGGGTGGGCCAGTACCCCTGTCCGCAACTGAAACTCAAAAAGTGGTGTTATGAGTACATGGTAGTTTCATCGTTTCGGGGGGACATTATTTGTTGCTGTGCGCTAGTAAAGATGACCGAGGAGCTGCAAGTACGTTCTTGCTTTTGTCACCCACATGGCACGCCAACGTACTTTGAGGTGGAATGTCCCACGGATAATACATGTTCTGGGTTCTTCACCGGGCTCATAGCCGGCAAGGTACTTTCAACCCCCACACATCCACGTGATTAACACACGCCTCGAAGTACCCTTAGGCTGGGGAGGAGCGGCTTTAATTAAAGCGGAAGTGATCAACTCAGAAACTACCATCCGAGCCCGCCGAGCCCAGCACGAGACTGCTGAAAGCCGCAGCACCGCCAAAACCATTCGGAGCACGCCGACAACTGAAGCGGAGTTGCCCACTCAGTTCCCATTCCCACTTGGCATGTGGATCTTCCTCGGCTGAAATGCGAAACTCATGCACTGCATGGGGGACCCAGTCACCGGTCATGTCGAGGATCTGCAACCCACAAGACGCCCTTCCCCCGACGAAGCCATCGTCTGACGCGGTGAAGGTGCAAGCAAAGCCTCAAGCGTGAAGCAAGGACGTCATGCCAGCGAAGCATGACGTAGCCGCAAATAAAATGCGGCGAGGTGCAGGCTCTGAAACCTAGTGAGCTGCACCGGCTTGGACTGCCCACCACGAGTTGACCATTCCTCGTACTTCTTCACGCATATTGAAGGACTGTGCAAAAGCGTGTGCAGCACATGACAGCCAATTCGCCGAGCATCCACTACACGATGATGAAACTTCGCAGGCAAACCTCCAGGCAGTGCGCGGCTCTGTCTTGAAGATTCGAGGCTGGCAGACACCTCGCACAGGATGTACCAATCCACATCCGGTACACTCGCAACCGAAACTCCGAGCCTGCCAGCACGCAGGAATGTCCTCATCTCAGCGCCAGGGCCACGGACACAACGAAAAGATACAGCAATGAACGAGAGGCGACAGTAGACGAGGGATGGAAAGAAGAGAGTGCACGCGACGATCCCTTTTGGCTCCTCGTGTGAAACTGTTGTGCTCTCCGACAGAGGGGCAGGCGCCACGTCGAGCAGTTCTGGAACCGGTACATCGCCAAAGGAGCAGCTCAAGACCTTCAAGTGCTCAGATTCGACAGGAAGCCAAAGCTTTCCCAAATCTACTGCTGCCTCCGTGGCCCTTGTTTATCGCGCTAGTTAGCTCAAATTGCGACGACTGCTAGGTTTCTGCGGATGGTCTACATTGATGTAGCAGACCTTCGCTTGAGGGCACAGTTGCCGCAGCAGCTCCAGCGCTTTGGGCTCATCATTGCAGATGTCCACCTGGAGACGAGACTTCGGTTCACGTGTTCCTGATGCATGAACACTCGCAGGCCTTGTTCAGCAAAACGACGTCCGCCACCAAGAGCTGAGCAAGCTGCAACTGGTGTTCCTCTCGACGTCGCGAGGGGCAAGATGCCTGCTGCCGAGTCAAGCGAAGCAAGAGTGAGAGCGACACTGAAAACAGCCTTGAATGATATTCAAGCATTCACTGGAGCACATTGTCGTATACAGGACTCTCTCCGCACTTTTGTCTACCTTCCTTTTTGTTTGCTTGCTTGTGCTCGCTTGTCAGGGTTGTAAGAACCAAAGCCCTCCAGGCACACAAGCCCACCACACTGCTCGCGAGAGATCTTTTCGTCTTCCGCTGCATTTGTTGTCTCCTACTAAAATGTCGCTTTGGGTTACACTGTTCCTCCGCAACGCCTGCTTGTCCAGTGGTCCAGCGACACTCTATTTCTCGCTCGCTGGATGGCCCGAACACACAGGCCAGCACATGCTCTCCCAGCAGGCAGGCTGAGCCTCCTGGTTCAACCAGTCTTGCCCCTCAGCGAGAACCCGCTCTGCCTTAGTGCAGTTTAAGTAGCATCTGGAAACACTTGACCCGGCAAACATTGGACACCCCATTGCAAGCCAAGCTTCACTCACTGGCGTTTCTGAATGTTTGTCTGCTTTGCGAGAGATGTTACTATGACGGCAGCAACCACGAAATTCACTTAGCCTGTTTGTCCAGGCTCGTGTCAAGACAAAACGGGCACACCCTGAAAAATCAAACGCGCTGCTTGCATGATCTAACAAAGGGCACCCTTGGGTGTGCTTCGGAGTACTAATTATATGGCTATATAGGGTGCAGCAACGACCTGACATGCACGCACGCCTTTGGCTCAAAGCTGGCCCTTTGCCCATTCCGAAGATGCCAACAGGAACTGGTACTGGTATGAACAGACCTGGCCAGGCTCAGCAAAGCTTTAACTATCTTCATCGCAGACGCATCCACGACGGTGACCACCCGGTCCAGTCTGGCTCGTGCCAAAGGCCCGAAGCGCACCTGCAATCAAGGCGGCGGCGTGTTTAAACTTGCGACCCCCTGCGTTTTCGTGCCTCCAAGGCTGCCACAATCTGGCGCGGGTCCGCTGCACCGCTGGTCTCCAGCAGCAAGTAATCCAACAGGCCCCTGTCTGCTCCTCAGCGCCCGCTTCAGCGATCTTCCAGCTAGCTGCGATATGCTGCAATTACGGTAGCCGGCCTTCGCGTAGAGCAGTCTTCACGGCCAAGCCCAAAGCATCATCGAAGCCAGGGCAGCATGCCTCTCCGCTCTGCCACTTCCCGAGACTCAAAACGCGCTCAATTGGCATCTTTGCGATTGGGATTGCTGGCAAGACGGCCGGGGCCCCCACGCAACCGGACAGGCTGGCCACATCTCCATCCCGCCATGCCGACGATTGGAAAAGGTACTCCCCCTTCCCAAGGCCTGCACTGCAAGTTCCAGCCCTTCGTGAGCAATCACAGTCATCACAGTCCAGCCTGGCTGCAACTCCGCGGCCAGGAAGGACGCATCAATGTTGATTTTGGAGGCCAGGTCATGTGCCAAGGCTGCGATCCGCAAGTTTGCACGTCGATTCATGAGCCTGCCAGGGTCAGCAGCGAATCAACTGCCGAGAGTCACTCATGATGCGGATCACACAGGAGATTTCTAAAGCCGAGTGTACTGTATTTCCGACGAGCTGCCGCTTCATCAGGGTTGTCTTTCCACTTCCCAGAGAGCCGGTCACGATCAAAACAGGCAGCGGCACCGGTGCTGCAGGAGCAAAAATCTGATTCCTTAAGCAGTTGGTCCGAACACAGCAGGGTCTACGTTGAGTCTACGTCCCCCCAAGTCCAGAGATGCTTGTGAGTCCGGCTATGTCAGACATGAAGAGGTGGCAAGGAAGCGAGTCAAGGCACTGCTCTTGAAAGGCACAGAAATTCGCGTGGATCTCGGCAACAGCATCAGACATGTCCTTGTGCAGATGGGTAGGCGGCGAATCATCTGCAATTTCCAGGTAGAACTCCCTCGGCTGCAAAAAGCAGGATTTTGCAGGCAATGCGGGAAGTTGTCATGACGGAGTCATAGAGAGACAGAGACTCAACGAGGAAAGCCCGATCATGCACCTCCCCTTTCTTCCAAGTTTCGGTGCGGCCAGCCGGGGCGATTTCTCTGACTCCAATGCAGCCTTGTCTGATTAATGGCAAGCGGCAAATGGATTAAAACACTGCATGTCAACTCACCGTGGCCTCCTTGGGGCTCTGATCTGGCACGGCACTGACGGGCCGTGCCAACTGGAGCCAACCGAAACAGTGATCCGAGAACGTCCATGGCATGCTAGACTGCTAGATGCGAGGGTCTGCTCAATTGTCTTGTTCAGCTGGGTGATCCCTCTATGGTTTCCACCTGCCAAGTCTCGGACAAGCCTTGCTTGCTCAGGCACAGGAACATGTGCACCGATTTGCCGAGTCAATCTCTTCATCTGTGGCTCTGATCCTGTTCAGCTGGGAAGTCTGCCACAGCTGTCTGCTTAATCAGCTGTCTTCGGCCCCTTGGGCATTGTGAGCTTTTGTCGCGCGAACGAGACAAAGAGCCAGACAAAAGGTTGAGTCCGAGGATGGAGTGCCGTGGCCGTTCTAGCTCTGATTCACGGTCATGTGTAGGCAAAGCTGGCCAACAGCATCAAGCCAACAACAAAATGCATGCCCATAGCGTTTGAGACGGGCAAGTGGCGACAGCGGAGGCATGAATTTAGCTGCCTGCGGAATGGCGCAGAAGATCATAGTGGTTGGAGCTCACCTGTCAAGCACATCATTGCCGGAATCGTTGCACTTACAAGTTCTGCAGCTGCAGATATCGCAAAGCACGATTACTGCCACACTTGCGCTGCAAGAGCCACAAGCACATCGACGGCAGAGGACGAGACAGACAAGAATGAGACTGCGAGAGACTTCAAGAAACAAGGGTGATGATCACCTTTTTGCCATCCGCACGACTGCGTTTGTTCGCAAGCCAGAGTTGGCAAGTCGGAGGCGAGGACAAGCGAAGTGGAGTCGGCCAGAGGATGGCGCAAAAGTAAATGTGCCACCTCGAACCCAGGCACTGTCCACAAAGCATCGCGAGGCTCTCCGCCGCGGTTCTCCCGGGCCCATACTGCGATGGTCTCGGAACTGGGAACGGGAGGGAAGGCTCAGTCTCACTTCTCTACAATGGATCGCGTCTACATCGCGTGCATATGTCATATGTCTCGAAGATGAGATGCTCGAGCTTCACTCCCACGCATGCGCAAAACACAGGTGTGGAATTAGTTTTAAGGCTCGAGGTCATCATTCCGCGCACGGAGTCAGGCCGAGCCCCGATTCGAGCTCGTCACCTGACGAAGGCCAATGCTTCGGACAAGCTCTACGCTTTAAATTCAGAATGCGCTTGGCCTGTCAAAGATTCCCGTGCTCGTATTCTCTGCCGGCGCCAAACCACAACGGCCGAGACCACCAAAGCAACCACAAGAAGTGCCTCAAGCGCAAGAGCTGCCAGAGATGCTCGACGTGCTGTGCTGTACTCTGCACACGAAACTCTGGCATCTGCAAGGGCTGCGCCAGCTCGATGAACTCATGAAACATGCTCGTGTCTCGGAGTCAACGCATGAGTTTGCAGGCTGCGCCGGCTTCCTCAAGTCCCGCAGAGCTGCACATAGCCACATCGAAGACGATCCTCCAGAGTAGATCACCCGCTCCAAGTCCTTTAACAAGTCGATCTGTATAACGTCCTGAGGTCGCGATTTGAATCTCCAACCTTGTGAGTTGAACTGGAAAATCTGCATCTGCACTGTCAACATTGCGAAGACAGGCATTTTGCTCTTCAGCATCCACGGACCGACTTTTGATTATGACAAGCTGCAACCACATAATCAGGTCCTGCATTGTGGCTTATGCACAATGCCACGGCGCACACACACACACAGCATTAGCCAAGCATCTCTGTTCCTCCCCTTTCTTTCTTCTACACTTCTGGTTGCATGCCGGACTCTTGCATGGACGCGGACACAGCACAGGGTCACAACACCATGGTGCACCAGCTCGCCTTGGAAGGGAGGATTGACCTTTGGCACGCCCTCGACGAACAAGTCTCCAGATTCGGTCTCAGGCCAGCTACACAAACGTCTAACAGAAAGGTTCCATAAGCCGAAGCCTTGTTAGGAACCATGCCATCGAACAAGAGCCATCGTGGAACTACCTTAAGCAGCAGCTGCATTTGATGAGATCTCTTGCACCTTCAATCTGGAAATTGGGCTACCGCAATTTCAGTCGATACATCCCGAAGTAGATATACATATATATATATATATATATACATATATGTATACAAATGTGCATACATAAACAAATTCATATACACATCTATACATCTATATAACTATACGTGTATGCACGTCTACACACGTACGCACATACATCTATCCATCTATTTGTGTTCCTCGCACTCGGCAAGCAGGCGAGGCTCTAGGCGTTTCGGAAGCAACTGAACAATCTCAGCGCATTAGCCGAGATCACGACATATCAGGACATTAAGTACAAGGATCACTACATCCCTCTTCTCTGGTCCAACAAGCAGCTCTCATGCCCAGCAGTCCCCGTGCTTGGTCCCCACATGACCCCTTCGCAGACTCACCATGCCACGCATCTGCCACACTGCCACAGGGCTTGCCGAGGTGTCGAATACCCGACTAGGAACTCTCGCCAGTCCCATGTTTTCAGGTAGCACAGCACCAAAGTCACACGATAGCCCACGAAAAATATGTGGAGGCCTTCAGCAAATCCAATGCCGGAGCATATAGCTCTGAAGATGCCGCGTAGTCTGGACCCCAGTTTGCGGCCCCCTAGTGAACTGAGGCACCACATCATGACCCCCCGTTGCAAGGTAGCACGACTCAAAGTGAGCTCCCATGGCATTGCGCTCCGATCATCATGGAAACGACTGCCCCAAATACAGCAGCATTTTGTCTGCTCGTCATTTGGCCCTCAACTCATCTCGTGGACTCCAGACCTGTAGTCAAGGGTCTCAGTAGTCATCATTGCCAACTATCCATCTATACATATAAACACGTTGACACACATACACACACATACACACGTACACACACACACACATACCCATACACAGACACACGCGCACACACACACACACAAAGTCACAATCACACACGTATGTATACATGCTCACCTCTGCATTTCCAAAATTCCCAAAAGTTCCAAAATTTCCCATATTTCCAGACCTAGTGGACAGAATTTTTCTCAAAACATAAGGGCGAACTGGTTGGAATTTTAAAAGTTTTTGACCTTTTGGAAATCAGGAAAGTTAGGGTACAGACTTTTGGAAATTTTGGAATTGACTTTTTTTTGCCACCCGCCCAGCTGAACCAAGTCGCACCGCAGGGAACTCGTCAGAACTCGTGAGATTGAAAGCTGAGATCCCAGGGAAAATACGCATACAACTTCGACACGCCCAGAAGCAACTGACAACCATACAGAGAGTGCATGCGTATCATCGCCGGACCTCGGAGACCTAGCACTCACCAAGAAAGCAAGCCACGGTAGCCCCAACGACCCCAGATAAACCCGGTGTGGCTTGCAGTATCCTGGTGGGGGCTCTGCTTTGTACAAGACCTGAGTGGAGCTACAGTAGGTCCAAGGCATGATCAGTAGGGGCCCTGCGAGTTCAGAAGGTCAACAAAAGGAACTAAAACGATAAGATAAGATAAGAACAATAAACCAACCCCAGACAACCTCGCAGGGAGAGCCCGATTACTAATTACGAATTGCAGGATGCAGGCACTAGGAGTGCCAATTAAAATAAGTGCCAGTTAAAAAGGTTGTTCCGGTAGTAGTGTGAAGGATGACGAACATATCAGGACAGAATCACAAGAAGTCTTACAAAGGGAACGATAGAGACCATCATACTCCGGTTGAACTGGCTACTCATGGTCTAAACGCTCTCAGGACGCATCTCATAGGTCGACCGGTGGTAAAAAGACCAGTTGGCATCGATTGAGACCCATGTGGCGAAGGTCAGCAGTGGACCATTGCCGGTGTCAGACTGGGGTACTGCCCAGTAGGTCATTGCCCCAAGGTAGTCAGTGGGCAGGCCCGCGAGTTGTGCGCTCACCTTCATGGCAAGCCGGTGCCAGTTCCCGCAGAGTGGCTTTCGCAGCAGACATGCCTAACCGCATGCGAGCAGCCAGCAGTAATTCTGTGCCGCTTCCAGTGCAGGTTTGGGGTAGGTGAAGACGTCAAGTGCTGTTCGTGTTCCCATGTCCCCAAGTCTGGCATGGCCTGAAACGAAGCACATATCTGGAATTTCAACTTGTGGCCACGGTTGCAGCAGGAGCTTCGATTACGACCCCAGTATCCAGCGGACGGGACAAAGACTTCCGCCTAATATCATCCTCGGTCCGGCAGTCATCCAACACGGGAGCCCAAACGGCTCATCAGCAGTCAGGGCGGCTGGGCCTCCAGCCTTTGAAGCAGAACATGTTGGGGAGTCCATCGTCTGCATCCAGGTGCAGCTGTGTCCAGTGCCAGTGGGACCATAGAGACCAAAGCCAGTCAGCGGTTGCAGGTCGGGGCGCGCTGCAAGGGAGGCGCATCCATTGCAACATCGGCTAACTGACCGAGTACAGATGAATGATTGTGAAGAAGAGGAGAGTCAATGAGGGGAGTGAAAGGAGAAGGAGGAGGAGTCGGGAGGGCGCCAGCTTCGGTGTGTTTTTTTTTTTTGCAGGGGAATTAGGGCAATGGCGAATTAGTGATTACGAATTAGCGAATTACACGAGGGACCTGTGGCGTAACGAGCGTCAACGAACGACGCGAATTAAGGATGTGCATGTTGTGTGCAGCAACGAAACGGCGGAGGCTTAATGCAAGCAATTAAAAAGGGGGGGGCACAGGAGGGATCTTACACCCCTCTCAGAGCCCGGAAGTGTGATCTAGTCCGGACTCACGGGAAGACAATCTCCGGAATGGAGACTTCTTCCGCTTCACCATCAGAGACCTCGAGGACATCTTCCTGCGTCGGGTGAGCGAGGTCCTGTGCGCTTTCCCTGCAAAAGGCGTCGGGGAGCTTGGTTTGTTTGATTGCGTACTCACCATAGTAGACCGAAAGTCTGTAACGATTCAGGGCTTGCGGGGTGGCAGGGGGTCGAAAGCCCATCAGCGCTAGAGTAGTGTTGAAATACAAGTGATTACTGGTGGCAATCTGCGGGGCCCAAGCTGTGAGGATTCTACGTTCTTCTCCGTGCCAGAGTTCCGTACCATGAAGGAGGGTACGGGAGCTGAAGAGGCAGGGCTTGTGTAGAATATTGACAAAGCTACCGAGTCGTACATCCTCGCTTCCTGGTTTCCATCCTTCTACTGTACCTGTAGGGTTCTCGATCCAGACTCTGCCCTTGGTAAAGTGGGAGAGTCCAATGACAAGTGATGGAGCCCATGAGTTGCGATCGTCTGTATGGCAAGGTTTACCAGGGCCTAGACGGATGGAGGCCGAAGTAAAAGGGGTTTCCTCGGGTTGAATCGAGCGAATAAAGGCACAGACAGCTTGTGTAAAGCCAGGGTGCGAGTCAGTGAGGCGCGTGAGTGCGTTAGCAAGCCGGGTGGTTTGTCCCAAAAGCAAGAACTTATTTTCCCCCTCATCCAAATCCCAGAATTTCTTAGGCACTTCCTCTGAAAGGCGAGCCAGGGCCAAGCAACGGTCCTCCACGTCCAGGGTGCCGACGTTCATGAGAAAGCTTTCGGAGAGGGCTTCGAGGGACTTGTTGGTGGGAGCAAAATCTACGTCTTCGGGGGTTTCAGGGTCATTGGCTTTGGGCTTCTGTTGCCTTTGTCTTTTACGGGGAAGTGGGGATTCCTGCTCTCTGTCCTTGGATGTTGCCACTCGGGCGGTGTCCGGAGAAAGATGTACCTCAGTGGTCGAGTCGGCAGGCTCGTTAGCATCCTGGGAGGTATGGTCGAAGGTGCTTGCTGAGGAGGGGTCGGGAGGGGGAAGGGGTGTCGAGTCCTCTTGGGTTTCAGCAAACGGTTCCATGAGCAGGTATGGAGTCAGGAGCTAAAGAGACTGAGCCGGGGCTGCGTTAGGCAGAATATGCGAAGGGATCGGGGGAAGGCAGGTCGGGAGCTAGTGAAAGAATTGATTGGGGTCGTTTTTTTTTTGGGGGGGGAACTAGGTGTGGGTAGGCACTTGAGGTAATCGTCATAAGGAAAGATTTGGGGACTTCCAATGATCAGACCTACAAGTATGCATAGGAAAGGTGCTGCAGTTGTTGGGGCTTGAGGGACTCAAGGCTCGACTGGCAAGGCACGCATCCTTCGTTTGTCACAGCGCATGCAGGAGTCAGCCGCCACTGTCATTACGAATTATCAATTACGAATTATGAATTGAGTGGAGTGAAGGATGCACATGCAGGATCGGGGCTCAAGCAAATGCCGGCGCTGGAACAGTTAGGCCAAACAGAACAACAGCCATCTAAGCGACTAGGGTACGTAAACCGAAACAAAAACAACCCAGTAGACGTGAGAACAGGCATGCTTGATCCGAGGGCTCGGTCGCTACCTTACTGCGGTGGGTACTGCATCGCACCTCCCAGTAGACTAGCCATTAGGTTCAGGGCGTCTTGGGCGCGAGGATCAAGGTAGGTCTGCGGGCCCATGCGCCAGCCAGGGGGACTGCTCAGCAGATTAGACAGCTGAACCGGTTGGCGCGCCGGCATAGACTCGTGTAAACGTAGGATCGGAGCAGCCGTAGTCTGATCTGCAGTCGTCTGCCCGGGGGCGAAAGCCTGGGGAGTAGTTGCCGGCATTGGCGGCGGTGCAGCACTAGAAGCCGGGGTCGATGCAGGCTGCGACGACGCCGGTCCTGAAGGTGCCGTAGTCGGTGCGGTCGTGGTTGTCGAGCCTGGCGTTGGAGGTGGTGGGGCTTTGGTAGGCATCGGCGGGGTGAGTCGAGCGGCAATCTTCTCCAACTGGGCCTGGATTGCCTTGGTGCACTCCCCGTGGCGCTTCATCTTCTCGTCAATCGAGCCAGTGATGTCCTGGATCGCATTGAGGACATCGGCCTGACCCCATTGCGTGTTGCCAATGCCCTGCACCTGATGCAGAGATGGCATAGCCTCGTTGCGAAAGTTGGTGACCAAGGAGCAGGCTTGCTTCACGTGGTTCATGATCGCGTGAAGCTGACTCGCCAGT